AGCTCAGCGCGTCTCGTGGGATGGCGCTCTCTTATCCGACTAGTCTGATACTCTCTTCACTGTGCTCTTCACCGCCTCTCTCTTTTGATTCTAACTTCAGTTCGGATGAATTCTTCGATCCTAATATATTTCAAGTATTTCGTAAGGATAGAGACTTCGGCAGAATGCAGTGCGGGAGAGGAGGTGGCGTTATAGTGGCTGTTAGCCGTAAATTTTGTTTTATGCCAATTCGACTCGTTAATGATGATCATCCGGGAAGATATCGATTGTGGCTTCCTATATTCCTCCGGGCAGTGATTCTGGACTTTACCAGGCTCACCTTGACAACATATCGAACATCCATGCCAGCTTGGAGGACTCTGATGGCATATGTGTGGCAGGAGACTTCAACCTCAGTTCTGTTTTCTGGACGTGTGACCCACAAGCAGCTGCTATGGTGCACGGAAACGTGCATCATTCACATGAAATAATTATCATTGATGACTGTTTTAGTATGGGCCTCACCCAAATTAATAATATTTTCAATGATTTCCATAAGCTTCTTGATTTAATCTTCATTAATTCCATTGTTCATTCTAACGTAACTCTTGCTGAATTTACCATTTCAAATTGTGTTGTCCATCACAAACCCTTGTGCTTTAACATTGAATTTTATAGCTTTCTGCTTTCCTAGATACATATTTTATCCCTCTAGTTTGAGTTCCCTAGGGGATTGCCTGCTATCCATGAATTGGTGTGCCTTACTATCTAACCCTTACATTAAAACTAATTATAAAACTTTTCTTTTAACTATTAGATATAGGGGAGAGTGGGGTAATTTCGTCACAGGGGCAATTTCGTCACCTGCAATATCTCGGAATCCATAAGTCGTAAAAATATATAATTTTTTTGTTTTAGTCCTTCAAGACGGCATGACACAACCAATGCATTTTTTTTGCACAGAAGGTCAAGATAATTAAGCTATAATATTAAATGTGTTTTAATAGTTCAAAAGCTACATTTAGTTCTCGACGAAATTTTTTCTGTATGCCTTAATTGAAAAGGGATAAGATACATTTTTTTTTATATAATACACAGTGCTATAATGTGCATTTCTGCGTTAGTGATTTTTAACTTCGCGCCTAATTTCATAAGAAAAATAATTATTTCTAAAAACGTACTGTGTGGGGAAATTTCGCCACCCTACGCTAAGGGTAAATTCGCACCTATTTTAAATACATATTTTTATATTTGACGAGCTGGCTAACGAACAGACTACCAGCAGCAGCAACAAATATAGGACGTCAACAAAAATGGTACGCTTGATCAGTGTAGCATATTTACAGGCGTTAAACTCCCTACATTTTTCAGGCGACGAAATTGCCACGGTGGTGTTGTGAATTTACCACCCTGTGTGGCGAGATTGCCCCAGTATATTGGTTTTACTCTTTATTTTTTTATAAATCACCAAGGTAATTAAAAAAATAGGGGAATGTCACATTTTAAAGCTTGGTGCTAACCGCATTCATCAATTAAAAAAGAAATATGATAACGTGTCTCAATATGGACAAAAAATAGCTTTGAAAAAATGCTGACGAAATTGCCCCACTCTCCCCTACTCTTGACAGCATAGTCCGTTCCAGGGTACGGGGTTCCTACAGGCTTCCTTGGTATACGAAAGGACTGCAAAAATACAATAACCTTAGGAACAAATATTACAAGAAATTTACTAGAATACATAACCCAGCAGATGGTGAGAGATACAGGCAGCATAAACGTGAGTTTGAGTTTCTCAATAAATTTCTTTAAAACCAATACATTTGTGAAGTTGAGCATAGCTTGAAGGACAACCCTAAGGCGTTTTGGCGCTATGTCTTATGGTAATATTGTTGCTTCCACTGAGGCCGATATCGCCAATTTGTTTGCTGCGTGCTTTTCCTCAAACATTGAACCTTCCAATGATTGGTATGATCAGGAAATATTAAATTCAATTCCAGAAATTTTCAGCATTGAAAGTCTGGACATATCGTATGATGACATTTCTGAAGCAATCAGTTATTTTGATGATTCCCCAAGGCTAGACTTTGATGGTATTTCTTCATTCTTCCTTAAGAATTGCATTGGCAGTCTGTACCTACCTCTGCAGATCTTGTTTTCTTCTTCTTTGTCTCAGGGTAGATTCCCAATTAGATAGAAAATTTCTAGAGTTATGCCGGTCCATAAAGGAGGAAGTAAATTTGATATTTCGAATTACAGGCCGATTGCTAAAATCGGCAACATTGCTAAACTGTTCGAAAGAATAATATTCAAAAAATCATCTTTCTTAATAAGGTGTTATATAGAACCTAACCAACATGGCTTCATGCCTGGTCGATCTACGACGACCAACTTGGCCATTTTTACGAGTCACTGTGTACATGCATTTGAGGATCACTCACAGATGGACACGATTTACACAGATTTTGTCCGTCTGTCTGTCCGTATGAACGCTGAGATCTCGGAAACTACAAAAGCTGGAAGGTTAAGATTTTCCACACATATTCTTAGGCCTCCTACACAGCGCAAGGTTATTTCAGCCGAGCGCCGCGCCCCCACTAACGCCCATAATCGCCCACTAACGATTTTAAAATGTGTCCTGCGCCCACATCTTTAAAGATTTCCGAGTATAAATGCAATTTTGTTGTGTTTATTTATACTTATCGAAATGTAGAAGATATTTTTCAAATCGGACCATTCATTAAAAAGTTATACGCAATCAAAATTGTTTATATATCTATCGCTCTCGCACTCCCTTTATATGAGTTTCGATTATTAGATAGTCGGGACACCAACCCGAGTACAGAGTTCGCACTCTCTTTAACTGAGTGATTAGATAGTAGATAGTATTAGATAGTCGGGACACCAACCCTACTAAAGCGTTCTCTCTTGTTTTATTTTGGAAAGTCCTCTAAAATCTTAATTTTGGAATAACTTTTGAACGGAGCATCGGATTTTATCATATGACCCCTCTTTCGACGCGTATCACTATTGACGGTAGTCCATGTAGAGACGAAGCGCACAAGAAGAGTGTGCGAAGGCGACCACTATATATAGCCGCAAAATTGAAAATCTGCTGTGATAGTCCGATATAGTCCGAATACACCAAATTAAAGGTATTGCTAAAACTTAAAGGATTGAGGATAGACCTCAAGAAAAACAATTACCGCTCTAGGTGAAAGTGTAGAAGTGAAAATTTAGAAATTTGGATCTGTTAGGGCCGGTGGGGATAATTGGCCCCTCGCAGAACGTTCGTTGTATTCCTACTGAAAATGGCTTAATATGAGGGGTCATATAAGAAAATCGGACGCTCCGATTTTTTAATAAAAATTATAAAATTTTTTAAAAAATTAAAAAAAAATATTTAAAAATGTTTAATAAATTACATAACACAAAAAAATAATAAATAAAAAAATTTTAAAATTATTGTTTATTAAATGGACGGTTAAATAAATAATTGTAAGTTTTTAATAGATTAAAAAATGACTTTTTACTGTTTGTCATTTAGAAATTGTCAAAACACTTAAAAGGTAATTTTTAATCATTAAAAATTGTTAAAGGCCTAGTAAACGATGAGAAAATATGAATCATATGATAAAATCCGATACTCCGTTTAAAAGTTATAGCTAAAATATTTTTTCTTCTTCTTCCCAAAATTAAAGATTAATTCTGTTTGTGAGTTTGTCAGTATGTCAGTCTGTCCCAAAACGTTGGTTTAAAGTCCTGGAAATTTTATATGGTGTTAAACGGCTCGATATAAGAAACATTAGTTTTACCAACTTTGGAAGAACTCGCTAGTTTAGCGGGAAAACAGCTTTAAATAGCTAAATTTCGTAAGCCCATACCTTGCGACTTGTGCTATACCTCATATTAACGGTATTTTGAAGTACAATAAACGCCTTCTTTATGTATATGCAATACTTAAAAACTTATGCACAAAACCAATTTTTTTTAAACTTTTTTTCTATTTTTCTCAAAAACGGCTCTAACGATTTTCTTTAAAACTTTAAATTATATAGCCCTTGAGATTCCTTAAATTTTGTTATATAACACATTATTGTAAAAACTCACGTTTAAAAGTTATTAAGAAACGAAAATAGCCACTTTTGCCAGCTCAGAACAACTAACGCTTCCTGAGCATTGAATTTTGTGCGTGGGTGTCCAAACTGTATTTTAGGGTCATGAAATCAGGTAATTTGCATTTAACAGTTCCATATAGGAATCTCTTGTTCTACGACTTTTGGAAAAACCCGCTACTTTAGCGGGAAAAAAGCTAAAAATAGCTACGAAATAGTTTGTAAGTTCTACACTACTAAAGCTACAGACATGTGCTATACCTCGTTTAAAAGGTATTTTGAAATACTTCAACGCCTTTTTAACTTAATTCGTTTAAATACAATAGTTTTAAAATTATGATTGACCAATTTAAATTTAAATGTATATATTAGCTCCTGTGAGAGCTAAAGTAAACAAACAAAAACTTCTGATATTAAATAAAAACACCTCTTAACGAGGTAAAAAACTAGTGACGACCGCACCTTCAACATACAAAAGTTATGATATCAACATTTGTGACGAAAAATTATTACATTCGTCATTACATACACTTTCTAAAATTTTATTTTTCGGCACGCTGCAATACGTTCCATTCTTGTACACCACATATAGATCATTCGGGTCACAAGAACGCGCCTGAAGACCCCAACTACACATTCCCTGACTACTCTGGTCAAATTCTCACCACTGGGAACGCTGCTATGACATTCTACATCATACACTCTACATTAATGTCTCTACGTCACGTCGTGTGACGGTTCCAATGTACCTGGCCGCATCCACTATCGGCCAAATAAATCAACACTACCTATTGTCCATTAGCCCAAAAAAAAAAACATCTTTAAATCATAAATTTTAAACCCACCATTAAATTTGGATTTGCTAGATCCTTCCCTAGCCGCAATATCTTGGATTCTTAATAAAGCTTGTTTTTATCTTTGATGAAATATTAATATTTATTTCGACAATTTAAATACTATTTAAATTTTATTGCAATAGAAAAAAATAAGGATTCACATGGTCTAATTGTTTATGTGAAGTATCTTTAACAAATGTTTTCGAGAATTACCAATTAATATTTATACAGGTACTTATTTACATAAATAGGAATGTGCGTGTAGTGATTTTTAAATGTACAGATGAAAATGGATTTAGTAAATAAATTTATTAGCGTTCGACCAGCATTATGTACAAATGTACGAAAGTATGCGGATTTATCAGTTGACAAAATTATATGTGTATAGCCAGAAGTTAATATGATCAGTTTTTTAAAAGTTTGAGTGCAAATTTTAATATTGTTTTGGGCATTACATATATTTTTGGAGGTTTGAATGTGGGTCATTTCATAAACGTGATAGAATCATGATATTCACGTATACGTCACAGAACATATCTTTTATAACATCCATAGTGTTTAGAGATACTTTTATATTTATATTGTATATTTTATGTATGATTTGGTTTATATGAGAATGGTGCCTAGGAATCGTAGTAAAATAATTAAAAATTAAGAAACTTTTGCCAACTTAAGATTTTTGTAATATGTAATGTTGTAGGTGAAGTTTTGAAGATTGGGTAATACGGGCTGCCATGTTTATGTACCCATTGTTGGCTCCTGCCGTATTTCCGATTTCAGCTTAACAAATTCCTTGGCTACTTCGTCATTATTACGTTGTGACAAAATTCTTAAAATGGTCCAACCCGTCTCGTCCATTTCAATACGCCTCATTAAGGGTAACCAGCATGCGACCGAGCCCTGTGATGCATTACATAAAAAGTATTGTGTTTTTAATTTTGAAAAGCATTCCAAACCTTTTCCGATATGTCCTTTAGTGGAATTACAGCCACGCCTACAAGTCTATCATCACGGGCAAAACAATAGTCCTTAACGCAAATGTGCAACTCAAAAAAGTCTAACTGCTCCTCATTTCCAATGGTGCTGGAAGACAAATTTAATGTGTTATAAAATTTTAGAACTTATGTTTAACAACCACTTACAAACTAAATGATTCGTTGTATTTGGGTGACCAATTGTTAGACTTCGACTTTGTAGCGAATTTTCTCTTTTTTTCCTGCAGGTGTGGTCCGATTAGATTGATGTCAACGAATGGTCGAAACATTCCCGACGGTATTTGCCACTTAAGATCATTTGCAGCAACGACTAAGGAAAGGACATTAATTATGAGTATGTTATCAGTAAAAGAAAATTATATTTGTTTTTATTTAGTCTACTTTACCTTTAACGTTTACTTTATGTTCGCCGGTGCCTGGATGTGAAAATAAGTCTATTTGCACGGAAATTTCGCCAACACTTTCCTCTGCGTTTTCAGGGTCAACTGAATTATGTTAAAATTTCAATAAAAGCGTGGAAAAATAATTAAAAAGAACGTAAGGAAAATGAAACAAGAAAGAACGCTATAGTCGGGTTCGTGTACCCGTCACTCGGCTTAATGGAGTGCGAGGGAGATGGATATATAACTTTTTTTGATTGCGTATAACTTTTTAATGAATGGTCCGATTTAAAAAATGACTTCTACATTTCGATAGGTATAAATATGCACAACACAATTGCATTTATACTTCTCGGAAATCTTTAAAGGTGTGGGCGCCAGACACATTTTAAAATCGTTAGTGGGCGATTATGGGCGTTGGAGGGGGCGTGGAACTCGGCTGAAATAAACTTGCGTAGGAAGCCCAAGAATATGTGTGGAAAATCTCAACCTTCTAGCTTTTGTAGTTTCCAAGATCTCAGCGTTCATACAGACAGACAGACGGACATGGCTAGATTGACTCGGCTAGTGATCCTGATCAAGAATATATATAGTTTATAGGGTCGGAAACGCTTCCTTCTACCTGTTACATACTTTTGCACGAATCTAATATACCCTTTTACTCTACGAGTAACGGGTATAAATATATAAGCTATTTGAAAAATCTTTTATCTAAAAATTAATGGTCATGTTAATGTTAAAATTAACTGTTATAAAGCGGGCTTTTTAAGGTAACTAAATTTAACAAGAAAGGAAGTTAAATTCGGCAAACGGAAGTTTATTGTTATTGTGCCCCGACTATCAGATAAACGTTACTCAGCTAAACGGAGTGCGAGGGAAATGGATTTAACGAAAGGTCCGATTTGAAATTTTTTTTCCACATTTCGATAGGTATAAATAAACACAATAAAATTGCATTTATAATTCTCCGAAATCTTAAAAGGTGTGGGCGCCAGACACCTTTTAAAATCGTTTAAGGCGATTGTGGGCGTTATAGGGGGCGTGGCGCTCGGCTGAAACAAACTTGCGCTGCGAAGGAAGCCCAAGAATATGTGTGGGTAATCCGAACTTTTCATTTTTTGAAGTTTCCGAGATCTTAGCGTTTATACAGACAGTCGGACATGGCTATATCGACTAGGCTAGTGACCCTGATAAAGAATATATATACTTTATATACTATACTATTACATACTTTTGCTCGAATACCATATACCCTTTCACTCACGGGTTAAAATTTTTGTTACCTACATTTTTTAATGATTGTACAAAATTCGTAACTAAAGCCTAGTACTCAGGACGACGAAAACTGCTAGCTAAGCATAGGAGTAAGCGAGAGGCAAATAGGTAGCTAAGGCCTTTAGCTGGGACTTTTTTCCACCGCGGTACTCAGTTGAGCTAAGGAAATAGTAAGGAAATACCAAAAAAATACTATATTTATCGGATGAATTCCGATGAACGCCTTTAGCCGCGGCCCAAAGAATAAAGCCTAGTACTCAGTTCGGCTAAGAGTTTCACTAGTCGAAAAATATTAATCATTTAGTGTGACCGAAGTTTTCGGAGTTCATCCGCAATGCATGTAGCATGGTCTTACTCTCTGCAAACAAATCAACTGGCGCCAATTTTGAAATATTATAAAATGATTAGCCGACCTAGGTCGCAAGTTTTAAATTTGCTGTTGGAATGAGGATATGTATTGCTGCAACTCCTACAGGCAGTTTTCCATTGGTTTTTGGGGCTTTCATTCTATTTATAATATGTTATTGGCACACCGCTTCTGCACAAACACAGCCAAAGATCAAATTTTTTATTCTTTGGGCCGCGGCTAAAGGCGTTCATCGGAATTCACCCGCTAAATCTAGTATTTTTTTAGTATTTCCTTACCATTTCCTTAGCTCAACTGAGTACCGCGGTGAAAAAAGTCCCCGGCTAAAGGCTTTAGCTACCTATTTGCCTCTCGCTTACTCTTATGCTTAGCTAGCAGTTTTCGTCGTACTGAGTACTAGGCTTAAAAAAAAAAAAAAAAATTGTCCACATTCACAGGCCGTTGAAGAAACACGCACATTTCACGCCGGGTAGGGCAAGGGACCTCGTGGTGTGGATTCACTTTTAGGTTAAGTTTGTGTAACACAAAATTCAAGACAAAGTATCTGGTCATATGCACTAGTCGTGCGACCAACCTTCATTTTCAACATTCGTTAAAATCAAAGCCTTAAAAAAAAAAACCAATGGAAAACTGCCTGTAGGAGTTGCTGCAATACATATCGCCATTCCAACAGCAAATTTAAAGCTTGCGACCCAGGTCGGATCAACGTTTTGTAAGTTGATTTGTTTTCTGAGAGTAAGACCATGCTACATGCATTGCGGATGAACTCCGAAAACTTCGGTCACACTAAAAGATTAATATTTTTCGACTAGTGAAACTCTTAGGCGAACTGAGTACTAGGCTTAAAAAAATATTGTCTCCAATACGACTTTACCTCTTTGAACTCAAAAATACTAACAGAAGTTATTGTCTATCTTATTAGGTAATTTCAATTGTACTTACCCTCGTGGACTTGGCTAGATATAAAGGTTTTGATTAGTGTGTCGGTCATTTGCGTATATAAACTGAGTGCATAACGTAGACTTTGCAGCTCGGACGATTTTTCAAGAAATGTCTTTTTCAGTCCATTGCCACCGGCGTGGAAATATTGTTTTATTGTATCTAAGGCAACGTCAAGTACGGCACACTGTTTTGGTGATAAATTTTTTTCGACTTCCTTTGATATGTCCATTACCCCGCTAAGAGCACTTTTAACATCCTGCTTTCCAGCCATATGTGACTTGAACAATCGTCCCATGTCTTCAATTTTTGCATTGGATGCTAAGTTTTTTGCATTGTCAGTAAGGTGCTTAAACATCATCTATTAAAGAATATATATATATATTTGATGGCAAAGATTAGAGATCATTATACGAACAGTTTTATCAGTCATTGGTGGTAGAACAATTGTTTTCTCCAATATTCGCATTACGATCTTCCATAGCTCCTTCAATAATCGCTTCAGTACGGTTTTTTCACATGATTGGGCATAAAGAGTTAAAGAACCATCCAGCAAATCCATAAGCGGTCTTAAAACTTCATCGGCCTCAACGGCGACCGCGTTTCTTTGGGCTGCTAGGTTACCAGCCGCCAGAGTTCCACTGCCCCCCTTGATTGAAAGTAGCATGTCACCCAGTTCTCGCACCGACTGAGTTATTCGGGGCTCCAAACTAATGTTAAAAATGAATAAGTTATAATTAGTCATAAAATTACGTTTTCCGCACTGCATCTGTGGGTTCACCTGATGGCGAATTGTGATGCCAAATCGTCTAATGCCGAGTTCAGATTCTGTTGAAGTTCTTTTAAAATATTGGCTGCGTCCTCTTCTAGCTTATCCCCTCCCATAGACTCAAACATTTTTTCCAACTGCACTCTTAGTTGTTGGATATTGTTCATAAGTATGCAGGCCTATTACCGCAGTAGTACAAGAAAAGGATGCATAAGGAACAGTGTATGGGTGTTAAATTGTCGGCTAATTGTTCTACTCACAATTCTTTCATCCTTCATATGATCTGGAAACTCGACTTTTACAATATCCGCATAAGCTATTAGCACTTTTACGATTGTTTTAGCAAAACGCCTCATGTAACGTTTCCAAATTTCTGGATCAGGACACTCGAGTTTGCTAACAACATCGAAACATTGCGTCAATTGCGTAAAAACGTCGACAACCGAATTTGAAAAAAGCGCGTGCTCGCTGCTCTTTTGAAACTAAAAGACAATGCAGATTTTAAGAATTTAAGAATGGTTATAATATTGCACAAGTAAGGGTGTAGGGCAAGCCATTAAAGAATTATACAAAAAAGCTGATTTAGTAGTGTAGCAATTAATTAACTTAGTATTCATTCATTAATTTAGATTTCTGTCACCAAAAAATTTAACTGAACGAACTAAACATTCTCGGCTTTGATACTTCGATATTTTATTTAATCGGCGGTCGTAACTGTTGGACCCCCAGTACCTAGAGTCGAAATTGTAATTTTATTGTAAAATAAACAAGAAAGAAAGCTAGCTTCGGCCATTAATTTTTCGATCGGTTCTATGGCAGCTATATGATATAGTCGTCCGATTTTGATAAAATTAAAATGGAAATTCGGAAATATTTAAAAAGAGTCATGTCCTAAAGTAGAAGAGAATACAATAAAAACCGAAAAAGCTAAAATTTATTTCCTATTACTTTCCCATTAATTTTCCGATCGTTCCTATGGCAGCTATATTATATAGTCGTCCGATTTTTTAAATATTTTATTCGAAATTCGGAAATATTTAAAAAACAAGAGGGAACGCTATAGTCGGGTGCCCCGACTATCAGATACCCGTTACTCAGCTAAAGGGAGTGCGAAGGAGATGGAGAAAAACTTTGATCCGCCGTAACTTTTTAACGAATGGTCCGATTTAAAAAATTTCTTCTACATTTCGATAGGTATTGATAAACACAATAAAACTGCATTTTTACTTTTCCAAAATATTGAAATTTTTAAAATCGTATATAAGCGATTGTGGGCGTTAGAAACAAACTTTGAAACAAACTTGCGCTGCGTAGGAACTCCTAGAATCTGCATGCAAAATGTCAATCTTCTAGCTTTTATAGTTTCCGAGATCTCAGCGTTCATACAGACGGACAGACAGACAGACGGACAGACGGACATGGCTAGATCGACTCGGCTAGTGATCCCGATCAAGAATATATATAGTTTACAGGGTCGGAAACGCTTCCTTCTACCTGTTACATACTGTTGCACGAATCTAATATACCCTTTTACTCTACGAGTAACGGGTATAATAATATTTCCAAGAGTAGAAGGTTTTATTTCAAATAACACCGAAGCTAGATTTTTTTTTACGTTTCCTTCCTATGGGAGCTATAAGATATAGTTGTCCGATCCGGTTGGTTCCGACTTATATACTACCTGCAATAGAAAGAAGACTTTTGGGAAAATTTCATCGCGATAGCCTCAAAACTGAGAGACTAGTTTGCGTAGAAACGGACAGACAGACGGACGGACAGACGGCCAGACGGACAGACGGACATGGCTAGATTGACTCGTCTAGTGATGCTGATCAAGAATATATATACTTTATGGGGTCGGAAACGTCTCCTTCACTGCGTTGCAAACTTCTGACTGAAATCATAATACCGTCTGCCAGTTTACACCTCAAAAAAAATGTTTCAAGGTTTAAACTCCACCTTTAATTTAACGTATGGACAAAAAAACGGTTCACATTTTTTTTACTCTTTGTACATATGTGCAGAGAACTTACTCAAAGGTTTTTACTTTCCTTTTTGGCCTACACGTTAAATTTAAAGTACGTTTTAACTCTAAACAAGAGAGAACGCTATAGTCGGGTGCCCCGACTATCAGATACCCGTTACTCAGCTAAAGGAAGTGCGAAGGAGGGGGAGATAAAAACTTTGATCCGCCGTAACTTTTTAACGAATGGTCCGATTTAAAAAATTTCTTCTACATTTCGATAGGTATGGATAAACACCATAAAACTGCATTTTTACTTTTCCGAAATATTGAAATTTTTAAAATCGTATATAAGCGATTGTGGGCGTTAGAGGGGGCGTGGCACCCTTTTGAAACAAACTTGCGCTGCGTAGGAACTCCTAGAATCTGCATGCAAAATGTCAATCTTCTAGCTTTTATAGTTTCCGAGATCTCAGCGTTCATACGGACAGACAGACAGACAGACAGACGGACATGGCTAGATCGACTCGGCTAGTGATCCTGATCAAGAATATATATAGTTTATAGGGTCGGAAACGCTTCCTTCTACCTGTTACATACTTTTGCACGAATCTAATATACCCTTTTACTCTACGAGTAACGGGTATAATGATCATACATTTTCTAGGTTTAAACTCTTCCGTTAATTTAAGAGGTGGAAAAGGAAACGGCTCTTAATATTTTTACTCGTACATGTGTGCAGAGAACTTACTATTCCAGGTTTTTAATTTCCTACTGGAGTTCTTACCCCGTCTTTTTTGTCTCGTTTAAATGCGCCGTGAAGGTATTCCAATGACACATCGTCATTTTCGTTGAGCCACTGCATCACAAAAGGTTCGAACCATGCTGGGTAGTCGGGGACCGCACCTTTGTAGGGAGGCACCTCCTTAACGTAGTTACTATATAGCCATTTAACTCTGAAGTGTAGATTCATGTAAGCCGACGACTTGCATAGACGGTGCTGTTCGTGTTCCTCAAGTGCGTATTTCATGTCGACAGCAAAAAGATGCCACATTGAGGATGCTGATAACTGCAATTTGTATATAGGGAAAAATTATTAATTTTAAGAGCAAATAGGAATGAATGCAACATTTACTTGGCCAATATTAAGTTCCTGAGGAAATTGGTTTAAAACTGTTCCATAACTGTTTTTATCTTCGTCTATAACCGATACAATTAAAGCTATTAGTTTGTGCCAGAAGTCAACGCTATCCAATTTGGGTTCATGATCATCCGGAGCCCGTTTTGCTTCGTTGGGATCCACCTGTACATTTAAGAAACCAAAGGTAATTTTAAACATGATTCAATATTTTAATATTTTATAAAGTACGTTTATTAAGTAGAATGTACAAGCATTTTTCGTCACAAAATATAATTTCAGAACTTTTGTATGTTGATGGTGCGATCGTCACGACCGATCAGAAGTTTATGTTTTCAACATAAATCTCTTTAGCTATAATACGCGTATGAACACTATGTTAATGGCATTTAAATCAAGAAATTTCCATTGACAAGGCCAAGACTAATTCATTACTGTATCCCGGCCTGTAATAATTAATTTATTACATTAAATTGTTAGTCGATGTATAGAAATAATATTTGAAGATATCCGAATTTTTTTTTTGCGCTTTCCGGCCTTTAATAATTAATTTATTACATAAATTACATAATATTATTGTCGATGTCAAAATAGTATGTTTTCTTTATACCTTAAAAATCGTTATTAAGAATTTGTTCTTATTATTATTATAAAGTGTTCGACTATAATGTAAAATTTACAGACGAACTTAAACTTAGCTATAGCTACGGGGCCTTAAGCTAAAGAATTTGTTCTTATCTAATTGGTTATTGGGCATTCAAACGCGCATTTTTATAAATAAAATATGTTACATAGTTAAAGAATCTCAAGGGCTACATAGTTTTAAATTGAAAAAGAAATCGTTAGAGTCGCTTTAGAGAATAGCCAAAAAGTGATTTAAAAAACAAGAGAGAACGCTATAGTCGGGTGCCCCGACTATCAGATACCCGTTACTCAGCTAAAGGGAGTGCGAAGGAGATGGGGATAAAAACTTTTATCCGCCGTAACTTTTTAACGAATGGTCCGATTTAAAAATTTCTTCTACATTTCGATAGGTATTGATAAACACAATAAAACATTTTTACTTTTCCGAAATATTTAAATTTTTAAAATCGCGATTGTGGGCGTTAGAGGGGGCGTGGCACCCTTTTGAAACAAACTTGCGCTGCGTAGGAACTCCTAGAATCTGCTTGCAAAATGTCAGTCTTCTAGCTTTTATAGTTTCCGAGATCTCAGCGTTCATACGGACAGACAGACAGACAGACAGACGGACAGACGGACATGGCTAGATCGACTCGGCTAGTGATCCTGATCAAGAATATATATACTTTATAGGGTCAGAAATGCTTCCTTCTAGCTGTTACATACTTTTGCACGAAGAATAAACTTAATAAACTTTTTGCCAAAAATTTTAAACTATTGTGTTTAACCAATTTTTATAAAGACGGCGAGAATAGCATATTATCTTTTTAAAGGGGTACAGCACGAAAAGATTTATTCGTTTAGAAACTATAAGCCTTCAAAACCCGGGTTGTTTCAAAAGTCGTAGAACAATCGTTTCTTATAATGATGTTTCGGATTTTATAATATGACGCGTATTTTCAATAAGAATACAACTAGGCTATACAAGTGGTTATTTATCCCCACCGGCCTAACAGCTCCAATTTTCTCAATTTTTTTGTACAGTTCCGCCGACCTTTCTGTCAAACCAATAAAAATTGTTTAAGTCTTAGTATGCAATCCTCTTAGTTTTTGCGATGCATCGAACGTTATGATCGGACGATCACAGCAGATTTTCATTTCTTCGTGTATCCTTCGTGTGTCACCTTTGCACACTCTCATTCTGCCGTCCACAGTGATATTTGACTTAAACAAAATTCATATATTTATACCTGTTACTCGTAGAGTAAAAGGTTACATTGTAATTTTTTATTAGCCGAGTCGATCTAGCCATGTCCGTCTGTCTGTCTGTCCGTATGAACGCTGAGATCTCGGAAACTACAAAAGCTCATATTCTTGGGCTTCCTACGCAGCGCAAGTTTATTTCAGTCGAGCGCCACGCCCCCTCTAACGCCCACAATCGCTCACTAACGATTTAAAAATGTGTCCGGCGCCCACACCTTTAAAGATTTCCGAGAAGCAATTTTGTTGTGTATTTTTATACCTACCGATATGTAGGAGACATTTTTCAAATCGGACCATTCATTAAAAAGTTACGCGCAATCAAAATTGTATATATCAATCTCCCTCGCCATCCCTTTAGCTGAGTGACGGGTATTAGATAGTCGGGACACAACCCGACTACAGCGCCCTCTCTTGTTTTTCTTTAAATCATTAATATCACAATGCAACGCCGAAAATTTAACCGCAGTTTCAAAATCTGAAACTACTGATTAAAACTATTCAAACCCACATGGCGTTTTTTTTGGATTGTCTCGCGTTCGGATAAAAAAAATTTGAAATCCAATCTTACGACAGCTGCACTTTTTCTAAAATAACTATTTTCTATTATTTTTCTTTCTTTAAAAAATATTAAATATACATAATTATAATAATTCTGAGCAAATAAAAAAAAAAATTGTATTCGGCTCTTAACCCCGAACTAAATCGCAATTACACTCAAAAACCTTAAAAATGTTGCACAGTGTATTTACAAAATAATAGGGCAGCAGTATTTTCCAGGGACCGTAACTGTTATAGGTTTTATTTTAAAAATCACACTTTAACAGTTATTTTCTGATTTGTAAAGTAAAACTCAAAGAATAACTGTTATTTTTTGAGTTTTATAATAAAAGTTGACAAATAACAGTTATTAGTCGTGATCAAAAATAAAACTCAAACTTTATTTATGGCGATTTTGTGGGTAAAATAAATTTAAAAAAAATATAGGTATAAAATATGCGCGGCTGACTTTTTTAACAAATTTTTAGTAAGTTATATAAAACACGGGTAATATGTTTTTTTAAAATTATTTTATTTTTTAAAAATGTCAAGAGAATAACTGTTATTCATAAAAATCAAAAAATAACAGTTATTTTTTGAGTTTTATTATAAAAATCAAAAAATAAGAATCATTACGGATTTGTAAATTTTTAGGACCCTTCTAAGTGCGTGTTTTTTTTTGTATGAAAAATGTACAATAACAGTTATTTTCGGTCCCTGGTATTTTCTATAAAAAGGTTTTTATTTCTAGGAAATAAAAAAGTTATACTTGCTATTAAACAAACATTTACATTTAAATATACTTTTTAAATTGTTTACTTGTTAAAATAATCACTTATAAAAGCTTCATGAACAAGTCGAGCAAGTTTTTTAACATTACTTAAATAAATTCATGTTACATTTAGGGTATTCAATTGCGTTGCAAACGATTGAAAAGTGTAAGCAGTTCCAACAATAATTTCCATAATAAATAGTTTACTAGGCCTACAACACCCCAGCCTATGTATACAAATATTTTGTACTTGTGTATAAATAATGGTTTAAAAAAGAGGTTTTAAATCAGGGACCGTAAATAATGATTACGCAGGTCAACAAAATGGACTTTATTAAAAGGTCCAGGCCTATTGGCATTAAAATAAGTTAATATAGACGTATATAAGCATATCTGCATACTTACTTTTCGCGTTTAACGGGTGGTATTTGGGCAATCGCGATTTGAAAAAATAGCAACATTTAATGTTTTGTTTTAAGATATCTTCGAGGGTCTGTGCTTAACTGTATTAAAACCTATGCCAAAAAATGGATTAGGTGCCCTTGTACATAATTGCATTTAAGGTTCCATTATTATTAGATTCAATCAAAGTCTATGAGTCATTGAAGTAATTTGTTCACCTCTATTCACAACCAACTTGATGTGGTGAACAGGCTTGCCAATGGGGCTGCACCAAAAACACTGTCGGCCTGTGTTATTGATCTATTTTTTGAACCAAAAAATCAGGCACTTAGGGTATTGCACAAAAAAAAACAATTTTTTTTAAATTTTTTTTTTGTAGAATAATATTTTAAGAATATACAAAAAAAGTTTTAAGTTTTTCGGACAAAAATTTTAGAAGTTATGCTAAAATTAGTACCCTAACCTCTAAGACTTTAGGTACGTAAGTGCATCTTTAAGTGTGTTTTTCTCGATACCACGTTTCGAAAGTCCGTGTTCATCGGCATTTGTAAACGGATTAACCGATCGTTTTCAAATTTCTCGCATATTTTTCTGCATAAAAAAACCCGCCCCCTGGGAAGCGTTTTTTTTTAAGTTTTTAACTTTAAATATTTTTTTTTATGCCGAAAGTCCCTTTTTTTAGGTGAAAAACGCATTTTTGACTTTGGAATCTCGAAAAAAATTCTCGAAAATAAAAAATTAAAAAAGGGCTTCCCAGGGGGTGGGTTTTTTTTAATTCTTAAGCGAAATGTAACAACAAAATGGAGATCCGATCATTTTTAGCGAAGGTACAGTGAACACCGCAAAACGCCTTTTTTTTAAAAGTGTTTTAATAGTTTTTTAATCGCTTTGCCACCGATATATTAGCCGATAGTATCGGTTATAAAAATTAGTGGATGTTAATAATATACAAAAGGTTTGAATTAAATACATTCAACCAGTTTTTATAGAAAAAATCGCAAAGTTGGTCGATTTTTTGGTGCTAAAGACCCTACCCCCCCTTAACAATTGTACACTTCTGCAACACAGATGAATACCCTAGTTGTGTTTCTATTCAATGTAAAGAATTTTACCTGAAATTCTCTGTTGTAAAGTTCATAGCAGTTTTCAAATAAAAACTGGTAGGTGGATCTTAGGCACGCCTTAACACAGTCTTTAACTACCGTACTCGCTCTCGGCGGACTAGACAGCTCTTGTACCTAAGTGTATAAATAAATTATATATTTTGTTGAAATTTATCTACAGTTAAATTACCTTCATGCGAAAAAATGTTATGCTGGTCAATAAATCGACTGTCGACTTTAGATCCATTAACTTTTCTGGGCTCGAAGCAGGAAAGTTGTTTCTGTACATTGACAAATCGATTCTGAGAGAGTTGTGCAACTGGTCCAGCAATTTTACAAATTTTTCTTTCTAAGAAATTACAGTTATAAATGTGTCATATTTAATATATCCTTGTAAAAATAATCATAAATGTAGATTACCCCAAAATTGCTTGCTGCAAAGCGATCACTGGCCGACACAGCTGAAGAAGCAGTCGTATGAGCATAATAAGCGTTTATGTTTGCCAGCAGGGTACTCATTACAGCTGGAACTCCGGGACAAAGGTACTTGGCAGATAGGCAATGGAAGTGCGTCATAGCTTGATAGATATTCTCGATTCCATACCGCATAGAAAACTCGTCCACAATCTCCTCAGGAATTTCATCGAAATACAGTTTCCAAGCATCGTCACCTTTTTGAGTTGGTAACTTAACCTTTGACAATATTTAAAAATATGCGTTTTTTTATTAAAAGGTACTAAACTTCTTAATGTAATGTATTTATCCAATGCTTACCATTCCGGTATTTTCTTCACAAAGATAATGAAACAGATTCTCGTGCAAGCAAGTATATTGTACATGATAGGGAGCTACCTTCTCCTCGCCCTTTATTTCAACAGATATATGAAGCCGAATAGCGCCCGACACAGCGGATTTATCTGTGCGCTTCTCCAAGTTGTACCATACATCCATTTCGCCAGAGAGTGTACGAACCTCGATAATAGTTTGGCCCAAAAAATCATCAGACTCTCGAGTTAATTTCTGACGAAGTTTCGACTTAAGATCATTGTCTTCGTCCCAAACTCGAACCTTAATACGGTCTGATGAGTTGTGGCACTCGCTACATCCACCCAATAAACAACAATTTAGTTATCAGCGTAAGGTACAATTTGTTAAAAATAAAATGTATTTTAACGTACGTTATGTTGTGCTTATGTAGTGCTATATGGCACATGTGTATTGACAAGGCTTATAAAAAAATAACGTCACAATGAAGGGTTCCGACCAAAATGTAGTATTTACATACAGAAGATGATGGTGGTTACCCTGCGCTCGTAAACTAGACTAAATCATCATCGCTGTGGCGCAGTACAGGTAGCGATGAAGGGCACTTACTAATACAGTGACAGAAGTCGAAGAGCACGATTTGAGTTAATCTTGCCCTACTTCTCGAATGACGGTTAACATTTCTCGGACAGATAAAGTCCCTGTTAAGAAAATTCGGGTACCTCAGGCATTAATGTGAGAACTAACTCTAAAGGCGTTATTTATTTAAAAAAGGTATGGTATCTAGTTAAGTTTTGACTTATAATAAAGTATACGGTTGGTAACGGGCATTGATGTACGTAAGAAACATAACTGATTTCGGTTGGAAAATATGTCTGGGACACCCCCGTTGGACAGTTTTTTAGTTTATGTTGCCATGTCCTTTTAAAATAAATAAGGCCTTAATGAGGACTCGGACTTCCTGTTAGGATCTAGTATTCAACCTACCAAAATCCGGTTACATACAAACCACATTATATGAATAGGACTTAAAAAAAATTGTTTTAATATACAGTTTTTTAGAGGATTTTTCGGTTTGTCTGAGTTTCTGTTTGTCCCAAAACGCTGGTTAAAGGTACTGAAGTCACTTTTAGTTCGTCAACTCTCAGAAACAATCGAAATATTTTTTTGTAAAATTTAAAATGTTTCTTCAAAATTACTTAATTTTATTTGTAGTATTTATTTATTGTACATTATGTATTTATTGTTAATTAAGGAGTATACTTTATACTTTAAGTCAGGGACCGACCATTTTTTAAAAGTGGCTAAAATAATTTGTGAAGAATCGTGTAGTTTTAATGGCTTCATAAACGGCTATGAAATCAGATTGGAGAAAAGTCTTAAAGGAGGACCGCGAGGCTGTGATGAGTTTTATTGTGATTGGAATAAAATAACATTTTGCAAAAAATCGTGGGGGTAGCTTTGATAAGCCCATAGACGGCTGTCAAATCAGATTGGCGAAAAGTCTTACAGGAGGCCCGCGAGACTAATAAGTTTTATTTTGAGCAAAAAAAAAAATCATCAATAAACATTATTTTTGAGTACTATTTTTTTTGCTCAATAATAATTATTATGCTCTAAGTAAAATATAAAAATTGAATTTTAGTCATTACAAAGTAATTAATATTATTTAACTTATAATGATTACGGTCCCTGCTTTAAGTACTTTAAATGTATTTGAAATACTCCATCTACTGCTACTATTTTGATCATATGTCAAAAACCAAACTAACGAAATCTGTTAGGCTTTATAAAAGAAGTGCCGAAAATCTATATATTGAATATCTTTAGAACGGTTCTTTGGAAACTTTTTTTTAATTTGTTCAGCGTAATCAGCGACCCAAAACTAAACGAAAAAAATTGTTCTCAAGGTTTATCTTTTTTGCTGTAAACTAGTGTAGTTTTCTTTATTGTCACTTGTACTGCAAGGTATATAAACAACGGCTGGCCAAAACTAGCTTTCTTTCTTGTTCTAAAAGACATTAAGCTAGACAACAACAGAGTCTCAAGTGTTGACTTAGTTCCCTAAATGGTGTTTAAATAAAAATAATAGATAACACTTTGAAACTGCATTTTGAATTTTAAAACCTGAAAGTACTCATCAATACAATTTAAACCCCAAATGGCGTCCTTCTGCCTTAGTTCCCGGTTGGTAGAAGAAAGCCGCATGTTGATTAACCTGTACTGATGAGTACTTTTAGGTTTTGAAAATAAAACTGCGGTTGCATTTTAAGATTACATAAACAAAGTTTAAGGCAATCGGACAAAAACTTCAGAAGTTAGGCTTAAATTAGTATTAGTAAAATTTTCTTTAAAAAAAATTAATTTGATTTTGAACGTCTAAGGGTAAAAATACACAAAGAAAACAAAAAAAATTAAATTTTTTTTTATTATTTAAATTGGTAGTATAACTCTTTACGAATGTGTCATGAAAGTTTCGAACTATTTTGGAACTTATATCAGGATGACGGCACCCATCTTCCTTATGCAGTAAATATATTTCATTACTTTATATGCGTTTTTCTCGAAACCATGTTTTCCTTAGCTGCGGATCGTGCATCTCAAAAAGTAATACTTCGATCATCATGCTGTTTTTACAGAAATGTTTGTAATGAAATAGCCCACTTTCTGAACCTACTTTACGTAGAAATTTGTACGTTGATGTATTTTTTGTAAAGCAAAAACAACCAAAAAAAATATGAACAAAATAGATTTTTTACTTTGAAAGAGGGCCACAACCAGAATTTTTGAGATATTCGATGTTAGTTAAGTTCAGACAGTTTCTACATTATTTCTTAACAAAATAAATTTGGTTTCATAAAAATCGGATCTACACAGCGACCTTTGGACGATCCGCAGCTGGCCTACTTTTTTTTTAAAAAGGCCTGACGGCCGCCATTTTTAAAATTAAAATTGGTTTAAATTATATAAGAACTATTACTGTGTTTATACGATGCCGAATTCACGCTATCATTTCACGCTTTCGGCCGATTCGTGCTTGTATAAACGCCATTTCGTGAATTCGGCAACACACGAAAGTTGACTATGATTTCAGCCCAAAAGCGAAATTTGGTGATATGCAGTATGGTAACTCTGTAAAAAATGATCGACGTTGCCAGATCGCTAGAAATTGAAGGCCTTTTATAGGCTATATCTCTAATCAGTGGTATTAAAAATTAGATATTTTTGCCGGTCCGGCATCCCTATCAGCTGAGAGTGAGTAAAAGCATGAATTCTCGGCTGTCGTATAAACAGGGGTTATTTCTATTTCGCGCTTTCAAGAAATCGTGATTGCTATCGTATAAACATAGTATATGTAATCAACATGCCAAGTTACGAAATTTCAGCACAAACCCTTATTAATTTAAAAAAATCACGAAAAACTTTAAAAATTTGCAGGTATCTCCCCCCATAAATTGAATTTCTTATGTGCGTATCAAAATCCTATTTTTGGGTCATGGAATCGATTGAATTCTGCTTAACAATATTTTGATAAAGCGGGTCTAATAAGTGGATTTTAGATATGAAAGATATGATTTTATGTCGAATGAAAAATAATTTTTCCTAAAATGAAAATTAAAATTTTCCGATCCGATGGAATTATTTTTTCGTTTTCTTCTAGAAAACATTTTGCAAAGTTTAGGGTCTATTGACATGAAATCGTATATTAAAATTTTCCGATCCGATGAAAATATAATTTCGTTTTCTACAAGAAAACATTTTGCGGAGTTTAGGGTGTATTGACATGAAATCGTATATTTTATGTATACCTTGATCAGGGTAAAATTATGACCAATCGGGGAATATATCCTGAAGCAGCCAGAAAAACATTCGGCTCAAATTCAGGTCAGGATGTAATAAAAGGTGACAGAATGGCTTTATAAAAATTATAGATGAATAAAATAAGGCAAGACTTTTTTTCTGAGTAATAAAAGTAATTAAATGAAAGTAAGAAAGGCACTCGTAGTATAAAAGGGTATATCTGGTTCTTTGAAAAGTATGTCACAGATTGAGTGAAGCGTTTCTGACCGAATAAAGTATTTTTAATCATGAGCAGATATATGTAACATCAAAAATGTACCTCGATGAATGCCTTAAAATCTTTTTCGCCTTGAATCATTATAAAAGTGCTTTTACAATAAAAAGCTCCCCTGCGCAAAGATTATGAAAAGAAACATTTTAGTTAAAAAATTCTTGATTACGGATTCTTGGTTTGTTAGGTAACTGTTGTGTTACTCTCTCTTTCAAACCACCCCTTTTTAAATATTTCTAAACAATATAGGGTAATTCCATGTGAAACGTGACAGGCCCATTTGGGTCAAATCTCAATAGAGGATTGAAATATAAGGATCGGTTTCTTTTTATACCCTTGCAGAGGGTATTACAATTTCAGTCAGATGTTTGCAACGCAGTGAAGGAGACGTTTCCGACCACATAAAGTATATATATTCTTTATCAGCATCAATAGCCGAGTCCATCTAGCCATGTCCGTCTGTCCATCTGTCCGTCTGTCCGTCTGTCCGTTTCTATGCGAACTAGTCCCTCAGTGCTTAAGCTATCGCGATGAAACTTTCCCAGAAATCTTCTTTCTATTGCAGGTAGTACATATGTCGGAACGAGCCATTGTAACGTTGTAGAAAGTAGGCGTTTTGATTTTTGACATTGTAAAAACCACATTTAGTAGGCATACCTGCCAGGGTATATAAACTTCGGCAGTTTCTTTTCTTGTTTTGTTTTTTTAACTATTACAGTTTATTTTTAAAAAATATTTTTTTAATTAAACTCCGATATTTAAGTTATGGAGCATTTGAGACTCTTTTGAGATATTTAAATATTTGGCATGCAACTTAGTGGGACATCTTAATATCTTTCAGAAAAACATTTTTAAAATTTTTAAATTAAGTATTTATTAAGGGAATTTTAAATTAAAAAAATTCTGTACGCCGGAATACACGCGGTTTTAAGTAATTAGAAAAAAAACGGTAAGAGTTAAAAAAAAAAAAACCGATCCTTATATTTCAATCCTCTATCGAAAAAAAAGGAGTTTCGATTGATTCTGAGATTTGACCCAAATGTGGAATTGTGGAATTACCCTATAGTCTTGAAAAAATTGATATTTGGACCTGTCTTCTGTCGTTAATGTATCCTATAGGAATGCTAATATGTGACATTGTGACAAGTTAAAAGCAAAACAGCCAGAAATTAAGGGATAGAGGTAAAGAAATCCACTTTACAAACGTTGAGAAAAAATGTACCGAGCGAATGTGCTTGAAACTGCATAAAAAAACGGCAATCAATATTGAGTAAAACCAAAACCAATTCACAGCGACATGTCTGGGCAACATTCTTAAGAAAATCGCATTCAAATATTCCATCAGAATTCGCTAAAGTCTGGTGTTGAATGAACTTCCCCGAAATCCATTTATATTTTTGTCCCGAGCGAATACAGCAATTTTTTAACGATATCTTAAAAATTAAAAGTGGTACAAAATCCAGATTTCTACTCAAAATAGAGCTTAGGAAGAGTGAAAAGAAAAGCACATTTTTTAAATTAAAATCTACCTTTTGCCAATTTTTTTCAACTTTAAAGGTGTGCAAATGTCCAGAGCAACAATATGGAAGTGCCCATATATATTTTTGATCAACACAAATAGCCGAGTCCATCTAGCCCGTCTGTCCGTTTCTATGCGAACTAGTCTATCGCGTTGAAACTTTCTTCTTTCTATTGCAGGTAGTGCACATGTCGGAACGATCAAAAAATAATAGAAAGGGCATTGTAACTTTGTGGGAAGTACGCGTTTTGATAGTTTATAATTTATAACCCACATTTTAAATATACAAGGGTATATCAACTTCGGCTAGCCGAAGTTAACTTCCTTTCTTGTTATCAAAATTTTCCTTAGTCTTAAGGAATGGCAATACAGAAGCAGTGCAAATCCAAAATCATCTTAAACAATCTTTTAAACACATCAACTTGTATACATTCAACTTTTGTTTCACTTGATTTTCGAAAGGATTCTCTCAGAACACGGATAGGTTCTGAGCAAGCTTTAAAGAATAATTACAATCATGGTGAAATAAAGAATGATCGACATTGTTGCCATCAGTAGTCTACAAGTAGACATTTAATTTAGATGTTTCCAGACTTTTAAGGAACTAACAGAGAGACGAGAGTATACATAAGTGAGAGAGTGCATCTTAGGTGTAATTAATGTTTGTAAACATACACGGTTCATATTGTTTTGTGTTTTGATTAAGTTAAGGATTGAATTTAGGGCACAAGTACTCACAAGTGAAACTTCTCGTTCCACACAGGGTTAAGTTCCTGCGGCATAGTTCGCGTTCGTTTTTTCACCTTGCTAACCTGCACCGTCACATATGGATCACTGGTACCGCTTTTATCCTTCGCTATCAGGCCTTGAGCACAAATCACTGCATCAAATCAGGTCAAATATAGTGGGTTCATCAATTTATTCGTTTCCAACACCATATTCCAAAAATCACCAATTTTGTGTGTGGTAATCAGATATTCCATGCCGATCAGTATAATGTTCCAGATGTTAAGTATGTAATTTTTATTTCATTAGTTGCCGTTTTTTTTATTTTCAGTTTGTGTGGTAATTTTGTTTGTTTCATAGATTTTGTAATTTGTTTTTAATTTTAAATTGAATTTGTGGGGTTTGAAACGAAGAAAATAATTTTGATATTTATATTATGTGCATTTGAAAAGTTATTAATTTTTTTTTATAAGTTTTGATTTTTGTTCAGTGTTAAGAATTGATTTTCAAGGGAGAAAGAAGAAGAGAAAAAACGGAGTGTTTTTAATAATGATCTTCAACATCAGTTCAGCAGAAACAGTGCAGTGCTGCTGACTTGATTACACTGTCACATATACATATATGTATGTACATACAAACATTTAGTAATATAAGTATATACATTTATGTACATATGATTACTAGTCAGAAAGATGCAAGTGACAAAGGTAAAAGTGTTTATGGTATATTGTCGTTAACAAAAAACATTTAATTCTGTACAATTTTAAAAACATTTTACATAAATCACATTTTGAACGTAAAGAGCAGAAAAGTCGAAAGCAATATATAAGTTTATTAAATATAATTAGTTTTTTAATATGCCTATAAAAATACACACGTAAGGAAAAGGACATCAGGTATAAATAACTTGCATTGTAAGTTTGTACAAAATTTTGTATGTACGCTTTTAAAAGAAAAGACATACATTACTGGGAAATCAGCACTTGCTGGCCATTAGATAACCTGAGACACACATATAAGGTTCAAAAGAAACAGGTTTTTAGAATGGAACTATTTATAATTCAAGATCTATGACAACACATTTTAACATATAGCATGACTTAGGGATATTAACACCCCTATTGTGGGACATATTTACGGTTTAATGTTATTATAATTTTATAATTATACCCGTTACTCATAGAGTAAAAGTGTCTATTGTATTCGTGCAAAAGTATGTAACAGCTAGAAGAAAGCATTTCCGACACTATAAAGTATATATATTATTGATCAGGGTCACTAGCTGAGTCGATCTAGTCCGTCCGACCGTCTGTCTGTCCGTTAGAGGTGTAGAAATATCGATTTTTGGGAACATCGATGTTTTCGATGTTTTTGTCAAAAAACATCGATGTTTTTAAATAAAAATAAAAATGTATACAAAACTGAGCCATTAAGAAAGAAAAAATAATTGATTACTTTTTTCCGTTTTGAATCTGAAGAGTATGGGCTCGACAAATTCGCTGGTTTGAGATGTTTTATCATATTTATTGTCTTCCCTGATGTTTTCAAAGATTTTCCCCAGTAACTGCAGATTGCAATGGCCGGTAATACTCTAGATTAGCGGACTCACCTCCGAAATTCGCGAAAAAAGTATCCTCGATGGACCGCGATTTATTAAGAATTTAATATAATCCCCCTTGGACAGCGATTTCTTTTGAGAGATGAGAGTTCTTAAGAAATCGCGGTCCATCGAAGATACTTTATCGCGAATTTCGGGGGTGAGTCCGCTAGTCTAGAGTATTACTCAATGGCCTAATCCTAAGATCTTTTTAATTGCTGGCAAACAGTGTAGCCTTCCCGATTCCGTTTCGGAGATGAGGGCTTGCAGGTTTCCCTTGTCGTGCCTGTACAGTGAACGCTTTAGAAAATAGTTTTCCATTTATATTCGGAATGCATGTGTTCATATGTATAAGCATTTTGTTTTTTTAATTTTACAAATATCTCTGACCAGTTCAGCTCGGAAAACGTAACCAAATTTGATTTTTACTTCAAAAAAACATCGATCTTTTTTCGATGGAACATCGATGTTTGTAAAATATCATCAAACATCGATCTATTGATTTTCCCATCGATTTTTTCTCCACCTCTACTGTCCGTATAAACGCGAAGATCTCGGAAACTACAAAAGCTAGAAAGTTGGGATTACCCACACATATTCTTGGGCTTTCTACGCAGCGCAAGTTTGTTTCAGCAGCCTCCTCTAACGCCCACAATCGCCTTAAACGATTTTAAAATGTGTATGGCACCCACACCTTTAAGGAAAAGTAAAAACGCAGTTTTATTATGTTTATCAATACCTAACGATGTAGAAGAATTCTTTAAATCGGACCATTCGTTAAAAAGTTATGCGCGATCAAAGTTTTATATCTCCATTACCTTCGCACTCCCTTCAGCTGAGTAACGGGTATCTCATAGTCGGGGCACCCAACTATAGCGTTTTCTCTTGTCTATTACATCTGATCTCATATTTAAAAAAATTGCTTGTAACCATATTCGTCGTGTTTTCGTACTACCGAACAATCCGTAAATCAGAGCATGGTGTGCCATTTGTGTTCTTCGTTTGAGTTGTTTTTTTTTAGAGTCAAGAGTCATTTCCGACACAATAAGACGTGATCCGATTGAAAAAGGCGCCTTACAGCATGCTGTAAGCTTGAAAATTTTTCAACTGTAGTTTAAAAAAGCAACACAGCTGTTTTAGTATATATATTTGTTAATTTTTTTTACATTTAAGGCTGAAGCCATTTTGAGGTCGAACAACCGCAAGCTCTAGTTAATATAGAAACGATCTGATCCGAACTTGAGATAGATGATAAGGTTTTCTGACAAAAGCTTTCAAACTGAACAAGTAGCTGTGTAAAAACTGATGACGACTCCGGAGAGGTACTGGTAATACTATCTGCACAATTACTTCAGTATATATTTTTGTAGTATAAAACTAATAATACGTTAACGTTCATAAAACTTAACTAATATTGAGTAAAATATATTTAAAATAAGAATTTCTGAAAAAATTATTAATAAATATAAAAATAGCGCATGCAAACGAAGACAACAAAATTTTATCTGTGAATTAAAAGAATTAAAAGACCCAAATGTCTTAAAAGATACTGTACTGGTCATCTGATTTTTTTAGGCTTCATCCCCATTACGCAAAAGAGACTTAAGTTATCCAATACTTTATTAAAAAGTACTAAAAAATTTAACAAAGACTTAAAAATAAATCAAAAAGATAATACAAATTACGATTACAAGGAGTAACATATCCCCTATAAAAAAAAACAATTTCTAACGTTTCTGGGATAAGACCTATGCTTAGTAACGATTATCTGATAGTCGAGGTGCTCGACTATAGCCTTCCTTCTTGTTTTTAATTAATATCATTTAATGGTATTTTGTTTATTTACAGCTCTGGAACAGAATATGTAAATACAGATATAACATTATATTAAAAACTCAAAAAATCCTTAATATTTTATCTTGATTGACATGTGATTAATCATATTAAAAGCATTGAATCATAGGTTCTTAATACGATTAGATTTGTGTAACACACCAATTGGTAAAAAATATAACACTGTGCTACAAAATTAAAGCTTTTTAAATTTACCTCGCTAGATTCTATATAGTTGAATTCGTTACGAACTCCCAAGATAAACTGCGTTTTCCAAAAAGTTCCCCGACGCAAGGATTCTTAGCACAAGTTCGAGAAATGCTGAAACTGGCCAACTTTCCGGAGGTATCACAAGCAAATGGATTCATGGGAAAGTTGGCAAATTTCAGTATTTCTCGAACTTTGAGGTCCTTGTGCTAAGAATCCTTGTGTCGTTGAACTTTTTGGAAAACGCAGTTTAACTTGGGAATTCGTAACGAATTCAAAAATATAGCATCCATCGAGGTAAATTTTTGATGTTGCGCAGTGTAATTGTACTTAATATTTCTTTTAAATTTGTACACCATTCTAGAGCGTATTTTAATTTAAATGAGAGGGTGAAATAAACATTTCCGACCCTTTAAAATAAATGTATGCATATACAGAGAAAACTATGCGACGTTTGAGGTGAAAAAAGGGTTTAATAATAAAACGTTTTAGAAAGCATAAGTAAAACAAAATTTGTATGGTGCGTTTTACTTTTTAAAAGGTTTCGCCTCTGTTTTTGCACCTAAAAATGTTGCCAGTTTTCTCTGCGTATATTCTTTATCAGCATCAGCCATCTCCTTCTTGTCCCATTCTACTCAAACAAGTCTTTCAGTTTTAAGGCTATAGAAAATTAGCAATAAGAAGCCATTTTTGTAAATTCTTTAAAAAATCATTTTTAGGAACTTCCTAGTTGTCTCAATTTAAATGTATTGTTAGTATATCCTTTTTTAGTCAAAAACCAATATAACATCGATAGCATAAAAATTAGCATTTCAATAGTTTTTATAACACATGCAAATGAAAATGAATAAGTTTTTGGTTGGAAGTGTAAGCTAATATATTTAAAGGACCTCAAGTATGACACGCACTAACTCGAAAACTATCTATCTTTATAGAATTATTTGTTTGTTCAACAAACTTTGTTTATTAAGGTAATTAGTTTTAAAAACAACTGAATTGGTTAAATATAATGTATAGAAAACACAAAATTAAAAAATTAATAATTAATAGATTGTTTTAAAATATCAAAAATACAAATTTTGTTTTATATTGTCTTTTAAATGAATACATTGTGGGTATGTACAGTATATTTTGAATAAACAAAATTAAGTAATTCTTTTTTAAATCTCATTGCACAAACGGTACAATTTTTTTTTTGCTACAGCTTATCTGGGGCACTAGGTCACTACAGCCGTTGTAGACTTTAGCAACAATAAACTATTCGACATAAAAGATATTTTACATGAATAGTGTTTGCAATAATGCTCTAATAAAATAAATTGTAAGACAAACTACTTAAACTAAAGAGTACACATTTTTTAAAATTAACAATTAGGTAATTAAATTCTATAAAAAAGTCAGAAATGTAAAACGGTCCTTAATTTTAAAAATGAATACAAAATACTTTATTGAAACTTAAAATTATTTATTTTCTAAATTGCGGTTTGATCCAAATCATTAAATTGTAGATAAAGAGAAGTAACATAACGCATAAGAAGAGATAGTAAAATACAGTAAATGCGATTATTTTGTATACCCTTGCAGAGGAAATTGTAATTTTAGTTAGAAGTTTGTAACGCAGTGAAGAAGACATTTTCAACCCTATAAACTATACATATTTGTGATCAGCATTAACTGCCGAGTTTGTCTAGCCATGTCCGTTTCTCCGCCAACTAGTCTCTTAGATTTAAAGCTTCCATTGATACAATCGGAAAACTAACAAACATTTTGTTTGCTTCGTTGTTCCTGGCACACTGCACACTTGCACGGCATAGCCGAGTGCCCCGTTTATCAGATACCCGTTACTCACCTAAAGGGAGTGCGAGCTTGACAGAAATATGAAAGTAGCAAATGGATACCAGCCCACAAAATCTTTGATTGCCCATAGCTCTTTAATAGATGGTCCGAATTAAATAATGGCACTAGGCACTAGTAAAATCTATTATTAAATATTATAAATCTCCAGTGACAGGTTTCGATTTCCAAAGCTAGCGGCTCCCAACTTTATATTGAATGGTTCGATTTATACATTTTGGATGGGTAAAAAAAATCTTTAAAAATGTTGGCGCTTTTTAAATGTCGTTACATGAGAAATTTATTTGTTTTTTTATGAATTTAAAAAATAATTTATAGTTATATACTTGGTCAAATTATTTATATACCTCTGCCGTATTTGTACGGTTCCTGCGGTATGAATTTAATTGCATATGTTTTAAGCTGCAAAAGTATATGAACTTCGGCTGGCCGAAGCTACGGTTCTTTCTTGTTTTCAATAGGGCATAGATTCTTGACTAGACAGAAGTGGCTATTTATTTATCACTAATCCGGGTTTTCAATGGATTTTGCCACCCTCCCCTTCTATTCCCGAAGACAAAATAGGATCTTGCAGTACTTTTTTATACCCTTGCAGAGGGTATTATGATTTCAGTCAGAAGTTTGCAACGCAGTGAAGGAGACGTTTCCGACCCCATAAAGTAGATATATTCTTGATCAGCATCACAAGACGAGTCGATCTAGCCATGTCCGTCTGTCCGTCTGTCCGTCCGTCTGTCCGTCTGTCTGTTTCTACGCAAACTAGTCTCTCAGTTTTTGAGCTATCGGGACGAAACTTTCGCAAAAGTCTTCTTTCTATTGCAGGTAGTATATATGTCGGAGCCGACCGGATCGGACAACTATATCTTATAGCTCCCATAGGAAGGATCGGAAAAAAAAATTTCAAAAATTCTAGCTTCGGTGTTTTTTGAAATATTACCTTCTACTTTTGGGGATGTTATTTTTTAAATATTTCTGAATTTCGAATTAATTATTTAAAAAATCGGACTACTATATCGTATAGCTGCCATAGGAACGATCGGAAAATTAATGGAAAAGTAATAGGAAATAAATTCTAGTTTCTTTGATTTTTATTGTATTATCTTCTACTCTAGGATATGACTCTTTTTAAATATTTCCGAATTTCAATTTTAATTTGATCAAAATCGGACGACTATATCATATAGCTGCCATAGGAACGATCGGAAAATAATGAGAAATATTAGAAAATTGAACTTTTTTGCGATTTGTTAATTAATAGGAATGATCTGCAAGGGTATATAAGCTTCGGCTGGCCGAAGCTAGCTTCCTTTCTTGTTATAATGTTGCATTCCTGTTGGTAATTTATGAGAGTGAAAGATTTTATGATTTTTATTATTGTTTTATGATAACTTTACCCGGGTTTCTTTACAGCTCGAAAATAATGGTATGGTTTAATACCTTTTAATAAGATTACTAAAACTAATCAAAATTTATTTGCCAACAGTTTTCAACCCAACCATGAATTTGGGTAGATCAAGATTACATTAATCTCAAAATCAGTTTTAAAGCTTAATTAGGGCTTGAGATTCTTCAAAATGTTTTTGAAATTACTTCCGTTGGAAACAATTCGATTTGTATACCCTTGCGAAGGGTATAGAAATTTCAGTCAGAAGTTCACAAAACGTTTATATATTCTTGATCAACACCATTAGCCGAGCCAAGTCCGTGTGTCCTCTTCTATGGGAACTAGTTACTCAGTTTTAAAACTGTCTCTCTCTTTTGAAGCTATGGAAATGAAACTTCCTCGAATCTTATTTCTATTCTATGTAGGATCGAGCCGGATCGGACCACTATATCTTATGGCTCCCATAAATTTAGATATTTAAAAATTTAAAAACCAAATTTAAAACAGGTCACTTATATGTACATCTAATATCCCTGGAACGGCACGAGACAAATAAAGTTGAATTAAACGCCAAGTATTATTTGAAGTGCAAGGGTATATAAACTTCGGTTTGCCAAAGCTAACTTCTTTTCTTGTTTTATTTTCAGTTTAATTCGAGACTAATATCGAGCATTGTTCTCGATCGAAGAAATTGTTGTATTTTAAACCAATATGGAGAACTAGAAACAGGTAGAATAATTGCAATTAAAAAGTAACATGAAAAAAATTGTAAAATGTATATACTAAAAAAACGAAATTATAGAAAATATTTTGTTAATATGGGATTTATTATTGCTTATAGTTTAATTTGGGGTGGTGAAATTCAAAATTAAGGATGCAAATACAAATAATAAAATTATAGATTAAAATAAAAAATGCCAAATGGCTTTGTTTGTGTACCTGTAATTGTTAGTTTGCATGACCACTTAGATGTTCCCTCAACAGTTGCGTGCTCAGCCTGCTCTAATGAATCTATGTGTGTATCGGGATCCACACCAAATGTCATCCTTAAATTAAATCGATTACATACATTTATAATTTGTGTTTATTTTGGATTATCCATTTATGATTCTGAAATATCAAAACACTAAAATAATGTTATTGAATTGGCTAAGCGGGTACGTACGCTTAACCCCCTTCTATGTTTATTTTTATCGACCTTTTCACTTCACTAGAACCCTATAAAGTTTTATGAAAAACGATATATAAATTTGAGCCTAATAATGCATTGCCTATAAATAAGTTTAAAATCTTCGCCCCTAAAATTTAAAGATGAAGCCCACACATAAAATTAAGCTACTAAATCAAATTTCAGGTTTGCTTCCTTTGCTAAATGAGCAATAACATAGTCAATTATAAAAAAACAAGTTATTAGTTTTCAATAAAAATATACTCGCAGCTAATTTTATATGTGGATTTCAAAACTATACATGTATCTAAAGCGTACATGCATATCACACATTTTTCAAATACAAAATAAAGTACAGTTACATATAATCGCACATTCATTATTGTAAATCAATATTGTTTTTTTATAGATCAATATAATAATAATACATACAGCGTGTCATTCAAATGCGAATTGCAAATACATTCACATACATCCAATTCAAATTAAACCGACAACAGAAAAATACGACGATTAGAAGTTAGTTTTGTAGAATTTCAAACCTGTGATTGCTATCTTGGCCGACCATTTGCTTGTGCCATCCAGGACGCTTTGTTTGACAGCCTTCATATGACCGGTGTGACTCTTCTCCTCAACGCTGAATACGGCTCTATTGGATGAATGCCATGTCAAAGTTAACTATCTTTTGCTTGCAATGGTTCTGACCGCTTAAAGAACTAACTAACTTATTTTTATTGTATTATGTTAGATTTGGAGGCAGCATATCATACCAATATCGGCATATAGTGTTATGTTAAGAAGTGTAAATCCCCATTAAAGGTTTAAAAATTCAAAAATTATAAACTGTTTAGTGCCTATAGTTGTATCATAGGCACTAGTCAAGTCAAAAATGTAAATATAATGTTACCTAATCAATTCGAATATTTCTGGTTTCTCTCGTTCACGTTGCTTCATTCGCTCTTTCATCGCTGTAATGATTGAATTAGCCTTGTCCTCTGCACCGTGCTTCGAGCTCTTTTCGGCAGCACCTATTATCAGAAACGAACTGGAAAGTCTTTAAAGTACACTTTTGGATATTTAGAATACTTACGTTGAAGGCAATCAGCGTTCAAGAGGTCCTTACACTTTTCATGGCACTTCACACCACACTCAGTACATCTCACCCCTTGTCGTGCTATCCCCCACAAAAGACCCTCACACTCATAGCAGTATGTTGGTGACGTTGCCGTCCATAATAAAAAGTTGTGGGGCGTAGTGGACGATATAGGATAGATCAGAGCCTGTAGTGCCTTTTTGTATACATGCATTTTCTATGGATTGAAAACAGATAACAATTGAGGTTACTAATGTCACACGATTAAGTTTTTTATATTTTATAGTCGTTTTTAATATGGATTTATTCTACTGTTTTCTTAACTTCCATACGTTTCGAGGTTTAAAGCCTTTTTTAACTTAACGAGAAAGCGGTCAAAAATGTGTCTGAATCTCACATTGTTTATTTTATATTTTATTGAATACTTTTTAGGAAAATAAGAGTTTTACATCCTTACGAGAATTCTGATAAATATAATATAGACAAATAAATGGAAAGAAAACAAATCTATTGATTGGGGTAAGTCGCTCTCTCTTGGACTTGAACCGAGGTCCATTGAATTTTTAAACACACTAACCTATTAAACCAAACGCGCAATTTGAACAAAATAAATAGTTTAAAAACTATAAAAAATGGTTATTTACCAATAAAAAAGTATTACTATTAAAATAGTTACGTTTTCGGGATGTTACTGGGTTATTACTTTATAGTTATTTTAAATAGTTGTTTAACTATGATTTATAATTCCCAACTTGTTTTAGCGCTCCATACTTAGGTGGGCTCAATGTGACAATTAATTATCATGCTCAACATTTAAAAAAAAAATTAAAATTAAATAGGTTTGGAAAGACTCAAGCGGACTCACCCAGAAATTTGTAAAAAAAATTATATTAATTATCAATGGACCGCGATTTTTTAAGAATTTACGTGCAAACAGAACTTGGCGGTCGGCCATGGCTCTCTTGTAATTGAATTTCAAAGTTCCCGGTTTTGCTATAAAAAACACGGGAACTTTTCGTATATTTTCAATCAAAGTAATTACATTTTAATGAGTTTCCAAATATATTTATTAATTGCTTAAATGAGTTAATATAAAATTATTTATGTGTTCCTGTAAAAAAAAGGTGCGATTTAAAAAAAAAAGAACACGGGAGCTAGCTTCGCCAAGCCGAAGTTTTAATACCCTTGCAGATTTCACGAATTAAAATTTGACTACAATTCAGAATACTACAAAATACTATTTCAACAAGAAAGGAAGCTACCTTCGGCCAGCCGAAGCTTATATACCAGCGGTCGGCACACACAAACGATGACATTTTGTTCTATATTTGTGTGAGTAATTTGCACTGGGCAGCTCATCAATGTGTGTGTGTAGACCGCTGTTCTACAGTGTACATGAGAGGCAGCGGATGGACAGAGCAATTCCCTATGCTCACTTAATAGAACGCTGCCGACCGCTGTTATATACCCTAGTAGATAAAGTAATGCTTACTCGGTGCAGTTCCAGGAATTCCAATTTTGTTTTTAAGTAGTCAAGAATCAAAACGCCTACCTTCTACAAAGTTACAATGAATTTTCTTATATTTGTTTGAATTTTCCTATGGGAGCCTTAAGATATAGTGGTCCGATCCGGCGTGTCGATCCGACATATGTACTACCTGCAATAGAAAGAAGACTTTCGGGAAAGTTTCATCGCGATAGCTTTAAAACTAAGAGACTAGTTCGCATAGAAACGGACAGACGGACCTGGCTAGATAGACTCGGCTATTGGTGCTGATCAAGAATATATATACTTTATGTGGTCGGAAACGTCTCCTTCACTGCGTTGCAAACATCTGACTGAAATTCTAATACCCTCTACAAGGGTATAAAAAATAAAATGTTTAGCTTTTTCACCCAATTGTTCGTTTGGGGGCTATAGGATATAGACGTCCGATCGGAACGCGTTTTCTCCCTGATCAAGGTATGCAAAATAAATTCCATTTGGAAAGATTGTTGTCAATAGGTTTTACTCTGCGCGAAATATCCTGAAAAACATTAAATTTTAACCGATTTCACCCTATTATTCCTATGGGAGCTATAGGATTAGATGTCAATAACTTTTACACTGCGCGAAAAATCTTCATTTTTTGCAAGTTATATCCGATTATTCCTATGAGAGCTATAGGATATAGACGTCCTATCGATTTTCAAACGTGATATGCGTACACATGTTTTAGGATGTCTGTCGCTAGCTTTTAAACTAAGCTCGCAAACGGTATAGAAACCGACATTCAGACGGACATGGCTATATCGACTCCCCTCTTGATCCTGATTAAGAATATATGGGCACTTCCACCAAAAAGTCCACCAAACCAAAAATCTTGAAACTTGAATAAAACATAATTCCACATGATTTTGTCCCGATATTAGTTTTTAAATAGTTTGATCCTGAGCTAAACTATTTTTATAACAAACCCCGGGTTGGTGTCCCGACTATCTAATACCCGTCACTCAGCCAAAGGGAGTGCGAATGCTGTACTCGGGTTGGTGTCCCGAAGATCTAATAATCGTAACTCAGGTAAAGGGAGTGCGAGGGAGATAGATATATATACAATTTTGATTGCGTATAACTTTTTGATGAATGGTCCGATTTAAAAAATGTCTTCTACATTTCGATAGCTTCTCGGAAATCTTTAAAGATGTGGGGGCGTGGCGCTCGGCTGAAATAAACTTGCGCTGCGTATATAAAATATATATATATTCTTGATCAGCACCAATAGCCGAGTCTATCTAGCCATGTCCGTCTGTCCGTTTCTATGCGAACTAGTCTCTTAGTTTTAAAGCTATCGCTATCAGTACATATGTCGGAACGAGCCGGATCGGACCACTATATCTTAAGGCTCCCATAGGAATATTCAAACAAATATAAGAAAATTCATTGTATCTTTGTAGGAAGTAGGCGTTTTGATTCTTGACAACTTTAAAACAAAGTTTAAGCAGAAACGCTGAATCTGGAATTCCTGGAACTGCACCGAGTGAGCATTAAACTGTAGGTATTAACTTTATCTGCAAGGGTATATAAGCTTCGGCTGGCCGAAGGTAGCTTCCTTTCTTGTTTTATTCAGGATTTTTAACGAATTTAGTGAATGAGTACCAAAACCGTTCCGGTACCAGCAATACGGTAATAGGTACCGGTAACGGTTCTCTATTAGGAATAGGTTGATTTCGGTTATCGGTTCCGGTTCTAGTTTTATTCCCTGGTTTTAATTTCTTGTGTTCGATTTAAATATAAGAATATGTTTGTAAGGGAATTTTGAGCTTACCAGTTCTTCGTCGTTAAGCGTTGCACGTGGGACAGCAGATGTTAATCCAGCATTTCTTTTTGTAGCGGCCATCGTCTAAAGCAACGTTGAGAGAAATTAGTCTTCACAGAATATGTATATGATGAATTTGGTAAATGTGTAAATATTTAAATTCTGCTATAGGAACTTGCTTGTCAAAACATACTAAGCAAATTAAGCTACTTTATCGCAACTCTACTGCAGATACTTAAGTAGATTACAATATGCTTTTAAGCTTCAAGAATAACTAGAAGAAGCGTAACAGGCAGAATGCATAAACAAATAAAATTCATTGGAAAAATATGAAAATTTGAAATAACTACAATTAAAAGTGCACGGATCGTTATGTACGAGTACAATTTATTTTCTTAATAATTAGTGAAGATTTCTATATTGGGAATCTTATCTATCCGAATATCAAGATTGGTTATTTTCTTAAAAGTCGATCTATGCTTTATAATCGATATGCGTTGCAAGCGTTTACGATTGTTATCTACCAACCGTGGTCTGGTCATGTTCATGCAAACTTAACAGATTACATTGATCCTTTTTTGCGGACGCATATTGTAGCTGCGCCTGATAGCCGTTGATCAAAAGAATCAAAAATTATTAATTACTCACGGCAACTTACTAAATACATAAGAATGTATTTATTGTAAATGCTTCGTGTGACGGATTTATTTATTGAATGATACAGTTTTTGGCCATTATGAAATAATTATGGGCACTACGACCACATTTATTTTTTATTTGGTTACACTAGTTTACACCCACAATACCCCAAGACAGATGATGGTAGTTCCTTTTATTTCACCCTTTAGATTTGCTGAATAAATGAATACATGGGATACATTGCGAGCCACAAGTCGGAAAACTTTGAACTTTTTTAACCATGTGAGACGTAAAAACTCAAAAAACAAATATCGTAATTTTTAAAGTTTGTCGACCTGTAGCTCACAATATCAATATCCTATCATTTATTCAGCAAAGTCAAAGGGTGACGTAAAATTTTTAATTTAAAACAATTGTTTAAGCGCAAAATAAATAAAAAAAACAGACATACCAAATAATTTGTTTCAAAAAATTTTTTTTTTTTTTAAATCTCTACCAGGAACTACCATTAATTTTTTTAAAAAATTTTAAAAAAAATATTTTGTAAACTAATATCCGTTGTTAAAAAGATCATTATAAGAAATATAGCCTTATTTCGAAAGTTCTCAAATTGTGTTTATCTATTTATAAAAAGATTCGCAGTTATGTTGGAATTATTAATATAAGGACAATCTTTGGGGCCTTAAAGCGATAAAATATATTACGGTTTTTATGGTTGTATTTTAAAAGACGGAATTGTGCCTGAGCTTCTTGAAGTTTATCAGAACTCGAGATAAAAAAGAAAACAAAAATAGGCTAAAACGTTTTTACAATTTAACAAGAAGGTGAAGTTTCCTTTTCCTACCCGAAAGACAAGGATTTTATTTTGCAAACTGGTGTTAGTTAATATATCGCTGAATTCGAGTGTCCTAATCCCTTATTTGAACCATTCGTTCCTGTAAAGCAAAGGTACCGATTTCGTTTCAAAATGTCATCCCACGCAGAAAAAATATATTACTGATTTCGCTATTTATATAAAGATATATATTATAAAGAACTGTTATTGATTATGGCAACTAGCAGACTTTGTTTTCAGTTGTAATCGTATCTGAAATCCGTATCTGTTTCAGATTAACAACAATTCCACGAAAAACTGGTTTGTGCTGCGAAAAAAGTGATTTATTGACCAACAATAGAATCACACAGTGCTCTGTAGGCATGCATGAAATTTTACTTTATTAAACAAAATCATTTGACAATCGAATAAATACAATAGACACTGCTGACTGCTAACTATAAAGGGATTCCATAAACTGTTGAATTGCTGAATTGTTGAAAATTCAACAAAAAATTTCAGCAATTAAGGGAACGACCCTAAATGGTTTCTGCTGAATTTTCAAACAGCTGTCATTTGTTGAAAAATTTCACGGAACTTAAAGCATGTAAAATTTGATTTATTATTGCTAGTTACTGTCTAAAAGTGTTACCAAGGTAAAAAGAACAACAAATATGTTTTCTAAGTTGATTTTAAAATATATAATGCGTACTGGTGAAACTAAAATGTTACAGAGTTGCCACGACTTTTGAAAAAAGGTGACAGCTCTGGCTTTTCAGCAATTCAACAAAATTTTCAACAGCCCCGAGGCTGTTGAATTGCTGAAATTTCTGAAAGTTGACTTTGTATGGAACAGCTGATAACAGCTGACCAAAATTCAACAATTCAGCAATTCAACAGTTTAGGGAATCCACCTTATAATTTTCCTTAATCCATTTAAAAAATGTTTTGTTGGTAGTTTCGAATTTAGATATTGTCTCTTTTATGTTTTTCTATTACCTTGTTAGGAGCTATTGCTTAAATTTGTGTTTTATAAAGTCTACAGTGCAAAACTACATTTAAAACAAAAATCAACAATAAATGTTGCACTTGGCATGAATTAGTGAGTTTAAAATGTAAATATAAATTACTTTGCAGTTTTAAAACGACTAATAAAAATGTTTTTAATACAATTTTTTGAATTGAAAGTCTATAGTCTATACCTTGAGAACCTGCCGTCCAACAAATCATCGATGAAAGAAAACGATATTTTTATAGGAGTATGTAAGAGTAAGTAAAGGGTCATAGATAATATAGTTAATATCTTGTCCTTTAATATAAAGGATCTAATAATTATCATAAATCAGTGGCAGATCCACTGGGGATCAAGAGGTTGTAGTAGAAATGTATGTTACAAAAAATTAGCTATGAAAAACCCACACAATAAAATCCTGGATCCACCACTGTAGTAAATAAATTTATTTGTATATGTTAACTTTATCAACGTGTGTGGTTAGGGCATTTCTTTAAGTGAAAAAATATTATAGGACAACCAAGAAAGACTTAGTAAAAGGTGCAGATTTATTCATACAAAATTATGTTAATATAGACTATTCTATGCACATTTGCATACTTATTTTTCGTCCCCATTCCGATATTAACATAATTGAATGCCCATACGCCTGCACCAAAAACACTACTGTTCAGTGTAACATTTCAACGTAATGTAATATAAAAAACTTACCAGCTCAGACACAAGGGGAATGGATTTCCTACGTGGCCGAATGTCCGGCATACTGTCAATATTGCTATAGAAAGGATTGTCGCCGGGATGTCCATTGGTACGTAATCCAACTTCTCCAGTGGCACCGCCATTCTAAAAAAATGTTAAATATTATACGAAAATGGTTAATTTGAAAAGCGAACGTTTAAGTTATTATTTTGAACGAAAACCCAGAGAGAACGCTATATTCGAGAGCTTCGACTATCAGATACGCGTCACTCAGCTAAAAAGAGTGCAAGCAGCGAAGACACTGCTTCCGATATGCCATAACAGCGCCATCTATCACCTATTTCATTAATTGCTCATAGCTTTTTAATGAATGGTCCGATTTGAAAAATATTTTATAGGGTCGGAAACACATTTTTCTACCTGTAACATACATTTGCACGAATACAATATACCCTTTTTATACCCTTGCAGAGGGTATTATAATTTCAGACAAAAGTTTGCAACGCAGTGAAGGAGACGTTTCCGACCACGTAAATTATATATATTCTTGATCAGCATCTATAGCCGAGTCCATCTAGCCATGTCCGTCTGTCAGTTTGTCCGTCTTTCTGTCCGTCTGTCTGTCCGTTTCTACGCAAACTAGTCTCTCAGTTTTGAAGCTATCGGCTTAAAACTTTCCCAAAAGTCTTCTTTCGATTGCAGGTAGTACATATGTCGAAACGAGCCGGATCGGATCACTATATTGCTCCCATAGAAATAATCAAAAATATAATAGAAAAACAAGAGAGAGCGCTATAGTCGGGTTGGTGTCCCGACTATCTAATACCCGTCACTCAGCTAAAGGGAGTGCGAGGGAGACGGATATATAAAATTGTTTTAATTGCGCATAACTTTTTAATGGATGGTCCCGATTTGAAAAATGTCTTCTACATTTCGATAGGTATTAAGAAACACTATAAAATTGCATTTATACTTCTCGGAAATATTTAATGGTGTGGGCGCCAGACACATTTTAAAATCGTTTGTGGGCGTCAGAGGGGGCAAAACGACCGTATAAAAGAGACATGTAACTATTTAATTCCGAAAAGATTCCCAAAATTGGTTGACCACTCTTGAAGATATATCCCAAAAGACGAAGAAAATTTGTGATTTTCTTAAATTAAAGATACCGCAAATACCAGAGCTGATGGACTATAGGCGTAGTGGCAATTTATGCTTAGAAAAGCCTCATTTATCGAAATAAAATGGTGGCAGGCCTGGACACCGACCCATGTCACATTTTGTCGGCCTGTGTAATCATTGTAACTTTGTAGTTTTGATTTTTGTCATTGTAAAAACAACATTTTAAGTAGGCATACCTGCAAGGGTATAAAAACATTGTAACTTTGTAGGAAGTGGGCGTTTTCATTTTTGATAATTTAATTAAACTACGTGGGGTGCATATTCAAAATATTTTCCCCCAAGAACTTCAGATATCGTGGTCACCGGTTAAATAAACGTGCTTTCGTGAAAACTTCCTTTAGCGCTCATTACTTTCCACCGTTGTAACTTCCAAACGACATTGAATCTAAAAAATCCTTTAGCCATATATTATTTGTAAGTTATAGATGTGACCTAGCCAAAAAAAATTAGATTATTTGAAACCCAGACTTGGGCGACCCCCTTAATCAAAGTTCTTTAATTGATTAATAATAATTAACCGTTATTGGAAACAAAAACAAAAAATGTAAGGAAATACATTATAATTAATGACATAGTTACACAAACAAAATTAAAATTAAATTTGCTATTCGCATTAATTACCTTTTCCCTGTCCTTGGTCATTTCATCTTCTTTAATTTTATCTAGATTATTTTTTTCCTCAATCTTGCGCTCCTTTAAAGTTTTTAGTAACTTCCACTTGCTACTGCCAAGACCTGCTGCTCCATTGCTGCCTATCACCTGGGATCCATCCACATCTGATTCTTGACTAATTAATTTTTTAAGGCTCTGAGGTGAAGCTGATTCGTTTGTTATATTCTCCAATAAATGCGAATTATTCTGAGCGGTGTCCAGGGACTGGTTTTTTAAACTAAGGTCTTCATCAAATTGTAATATAGACTTTTGATTCACATTTAAGGGAATCGCTGGATTGTCATTATCTGAAGGCTTGCCGTCAACCCTCATACCATTTTCAGTTTCGCTTATCTCAACATCGCTTACATCTCCCGGCGTGTCAGGTCCTGATGTCTCACTAGAAGCAGTCGATTTGTCTATTTTGTCTGCCTCCAATTTCGGAATGCATTGCTCAAAGAGTTCATTATGTTCTTCTTGCTCACATTCAATTTCAGAAAGGCAAGACGAACTTGAACTGGCTGCATTGTTAGAAATATTTACTTTCCGATCACGTGTTTTCTTCTTTAATCGTCGCAATTTTCGCTGTTTTTTATTTAGATAAGGGACGGTCCCCTCGCCTTTACTCTCCATCTCGGCATCGTCATTCGAATCTATTTCTGATGCTTGGAAATCGCCGTTTACATCCTGCCAAGCGCTATGCATGTCACTGACTGTGGCAAATTTTTCACCTGATGGCTTTGCAACAGCAAACCCTTCAGCAGTAGCGTCAGCACATACGCCAGGATGTAAATTAACGACGCTTTTCAGTTCACTAAATACTTCAGACATCCGTAACTTTACACTTTCACTTGGGGAATAATTAATAATTCCTTCTTCATCCTTACAGACATTAGAAGGACAAAATCGGTCACCTCCGTTAATATCGTTTTGGAGAAGTTGTCCTATCTGTGAAAATAGTACCTCATCATCATCACGTTGTTCGCCAGATGCAAGTCCAGAAAGTTCTGCCCGTTGCTGTTCCTGTTCCTCTAGCTGGCGAAGCTCATAATAAAAGTATTCGTCGTCTGTGTCGATGCTATCCTCAGTGCTTTGTCGACGCGAGGAAGAGAGAGTGCGAGCAGAATGTTGACTTCGATTATCGTCATCTTCCCGCGACCCATAGCCAGGATTGTTGGGGAGGTCAAGGCACTGTTGCGTGACCCACAAAACACCACTGGAACCAAGATTACGAGTCACTGCGGTTGTTGTTGTTGTTGCGGTTGCTGTTGTTAGGAATGTAGTTGATGTTATATCCCCATCTTCTTCAATTGTTTTACGAATTCTTAGGGTGGGAACATTCACATCAGTGTTGGCCGAGTTTCTAAGTATGTTCTCATCGCCGACGTCGTCAATATAGACTGAGTTGAGTTTTTGAAGGCAAGCCTGTGATGATGTTTCCAAGAGTATCTCTGGCATTTTAATGGTAACATTTTCCACATTGCAAATTCCATTCCTATGTGCAAGCTCAGTAGGAGAAATGGCTGTCGAGACAGCCACGGTTGATATGGGACTTTGAGTCTTTTTAAGGTCCCCTACAACAGCGAATAATAAATTATTCGGTGGACTTTCAATTAAATCCTCCGTAGAACCACCTAATTCCAGCCTGTTCTCATTGGCATAGGCGGTTTGGCTAAAATCTTCATCAGTATCAACCTCGTATTGATTTGTCATAATTTTACTTTCCAATGAAGAGCTTTTATCGTTATCCGATGAAGTAAAGTCCGGCGTGTCTAATTCTGTATCCGACATGTTACAGCCGCGGCGCAGGACAGAGCTGTGCCGTTTGTAACTCTTCGCCTTTTGCATTAGGCTATTCATCTTAGATGAAAGTGACTTTTTTTGTACACCTGTATAACTTGAAGAGGGTTCATCGGCAGCGGAATCTGATGAAACAGCGCAGTCTGGCTGAGACAGTCGTCGCACGAATGGGGCTCCTGTCGCTCTTCGAATGAGTCGCATCGGTAGCTTTTGTAATCTTTTCGATAACTGAACCTGGCTTCCGCTTACATTGGGCCGCTTGTGAGAAATTAACGGACACGAACCCGCCTGGCCACGAGGCTGTCTTTGATTGCCTTGACTTTGCACATCACCGGGTAAAGATTGTGATCGATTAAACTTCGATATACGCTTAAGCTTTAGATTATCTGTTAAAAGGGTATTTAGCTTGTACCATACCTTTGGGGGCTTAGCAGGCGAATGCCTTGATGCAAACTGTTGGTGTATCTTGACATGCGTAGAAGGATCAGCGGAGTTGACCCTAGTTACAGATTCGAAATTGAGCTGCGATTGATTTGAATTGTTTTTGCTAACAAGCATTGGCACCTGCGCTTCCGAATAATTAGCATTATACTCAAGATGAACCTGTGGGGATGGAACTGGTATGGGTCCGGATTCCTTAAGAAAACGTATTTGGTTCTGGTGACCTAAATAATCTAAATTATTACTGCTATTGTAATCGGTAATAGAGTTGGAGGACGGATAGAATACCAGTCTATCTGTCAAATAAGGTCGGCTGGTTTGATTCCGCAATTTTTCATGATCCAAAAAAGTTTCCACGTGGCTATACCTTGACATCTTTACATCTTCTGGTCGTTCGACATTTCCAAGACTCACATTTGTGTATTTTTTATTTACCGTAGCCTTTGAAGTAGATTTTGGTATTTGGGTGGTCAATAGGTCTGGCATACGGGTAGAATTCAACCGTTCGCTTGAAATTTTTGTTTTATCCCGTTCATTGAGCTGGTCCCATTCTAGCATTTCGTCAACAGTTGAAAAATTTTCGACTTCGGTCGAGTCCGAACTTATTTCAAAGATAGACTTATTTTCATATGCAGAGCAAATAGGTAAGTTTTTAGAAAGCTCTTGAATATAGTTTAAGTTTTCTTCCGATATTACATAATCGTTTTGTTTACTAATATTAGTTTTATCATAGCCGGCCGGTAAACTATTAAAGTTTGAACTTCCAGCTAAAGGCAATGAAGGATATGCTTGGAGTGTATCCCTATTTTTTTTTTCTATGACATTATTACAGAAAAAATTTAAGTTTTGAATTCCAGCTGATACTGGGGAATTGGGGGACCAACCGCTCATCGACGAAAGGCCCGAATCAGATTTCGCATTCTTTTGTTGATGTAAGTCTATTTCACCACTGAATTGATTAAAGGTGGAGAAATCGTTGGGAGCTGGTGGTGGTGGACTCAGGCTGGCTTGATTAGAATCCATTATTACATCATTAATATCAGTCGACACTTTGTGCTTCTCAGGATTTTGTAAATGGAGTAGAAAAATCATGCTGTTGTGACGCTCCAGACTCTTCTTTAAAGACTTTATGTACTCATCCTCATTGTAAATATTTTTTGTGGAACTTCCGTAATCATCTTTTGAGTTGGTCGTATAAACGTAATTGGTTTCGCATTCAATATCTGAGTTGAAGGATTTGTCCACTTCCTCAGCAAGCCCGCTTACAATTTGGTCTATTTTCTTTTTCCGGTTAATTTCAATCTCTTGTGTCTCGAGAATCTTTAGCTGTTCATCCAGATCGGATTTATTTCTCAACAAATGTGCACTGAAACTACAAACATTTGATATGAGAGTTGGATTGATGCTGTGAGACGAGGTCGCATTTGCAAGCGGTTTATCTTTTTTAAAATCGTCTAATGAGCTGCCAACTAATTTTTTTAAAGTGTCAATATTTTTATTGAACTTTTTCATTACTAGGACAAACTTTTCATTCGTATTCGTAATGGAAAGCCGTCGTAATTCTTCAGTTAGAGTTATGGGGTTAAGTAAAAGCAGAGTTAATTTTTTATCGACTTGGCTGAGTTTTTGAAAAAACTTTTCCTCTGACCACACTGTATTGCGTAACTGACTAATTTGTGGTGCACTTAAGGATTGAAGGCCTGGAATCTTATTTATTTCCTCTATTAAAGTCTCTGTTATGTTATCTAATATTACTCGGATATCATCATTAAAATAGCTGATACTACTTGTTGATCGGAGACTGTCTAACCCATTCTGTGTCTTATCGGCTCCAGCTTCAATTTGATTACGCATATCTAAAAGATCCGTACTCAATTCCTCAGTGTCATCACTTATAATCCGCGATGATTGTGCTTGAGCAAGAATACATTTCAGTTTATTTATCATGTCCATTTCGTTTGTATGATGCTTTTTTTTGCGATGTTTTCTAGACTCCTTTCCAAAATTAGTGTTTGACTGCGTTGCAATGCCTGTCCTAGCCGTATCTAATGACAGCATTTTTGTATTGCCGTTTTCCTCCTGATTCCTTAAGGCCAAGGAGGAAGTGGAGTGGCCACTGATTGATGCAATTTGTTCGTGGGTAACCTCCGACTGATGCAACAATGCATCAACTTTAAATATCTCGGAACTCAAGTCATTGTCACGATATGCCTCGTTAAGTTTTTTGTAAAAGGATTCATTCATTTCATTGGCATCAGATGCAATTTCCGTTCCTCCGGTGTCTTCAATTGGTAGTACTTGATTTCCGCCCTCTCCGGTTTTAGAGGCCGCTAAACGAAAAAACTTAACATCTTCAATAAGGCTATCTAGTTCGTTGCTGTTCTGTCCTATGTGATCATTATCTAAATCAACATACGTTTGGTCATTTTGAAGTCCTTCTCTTGATTGTGAGATTTTGGTACATTTTCTGGGCATTTTGGATGATGCGCCGGAGGATGCCGAAATTTCATTTAAAACTCTACGTCCATTTATAAATTCCTTCATTAGTTCGGCACGAGCATTATTTGCCAGAAATTGCTGCTGCTCATATAACATAAGGTTGGAATCTGAGTAAAGTTTAATTCTCGATTCCTTGCTTGAATTTTCAATGTTCAAGCTTTCGTCATTCAAAGCAGCATTTTCGAAATCAAGATACGAATTGTGAGAATCTAATGAACAAGCTGAATTTAAAAACACATCCTGGTCGCGAACCTGCGCATGCTCTGTTACTACAGAGGGATTATGATCTGCATAATTCAGTTCTTTATCATAGTCCTGATCAGATTGTTCGGCCCCTAAAACCATGTCTATACCCAGAGTATCTTCTATTACCAATGGTAGCAACTGATCTTCATCCGGAAATGAAGAATATTCTAGTCCTTCGATATTATTTTGCTGCTGTTCTTGATTTGCCGCTCCAATAAGGTCCATAAGATTACTAACCACAGACTGCTGCTCTATCGATATGTTTTCAAGCTTCTCCAAACGAACCCAAATCTTTCCGTACTCTGTAGAAAGCAAGTCCAATGCACGCCAAGCAAACTTTAACTCTGTCTCGAGTAAACTAATCCGAGTCGCAATTTTGTCCATATAATCAGAAATTATGTAATCGGAGTGTTGTTGCGAATTGTATATTTGACACAACTGTTGTTCACTTTTTATCGATACCATGCTGCCATTGGTATTTGGATAGTTAGAATAAGAGGCACCCAAGCCTATCGGCGACTTGCTCATCGGTGGTTGCATTTGCGATAGTTGCTTTTGAGCTGGAGTCAAGTTAATAAGTTGGTGGGAATTAACCTTCAGCAAGTAATCCGGTCTTTCCGCTGGCTGATTAAGAAATTGTGTATGAACTGATCCAGCGGCTGGAGGGTTTGAGAGTGACGTCGCATACATTGTTGATTGTTGCTGCTGTCGCAACTGTTCTTTTATTTGAATCTGGCTCTTTAGAGCGTTTTCTGCGAAAATAAGCTTTTCTTCGGTATTGGATTTTTGCTCCTGCTTTTGAAACTGTTTTTTTTTTTCTGGAACCTCCGGCGCCCTAGATTGGGAGTTGTTCATCATATTGTTTTGAATGGCTTTTTTTAAAATCAGTTCTCAAATGTTGTTTTACCTAAATAATGTTGCCTTTAAAATCTGTTTTTATTGCTCTTAGTAAAATACATACGTTTAATCCGATAATCAATGCGAAAGCGTCTGAAACACTGAATGCTTATATACATATGTACCTAAAAAAATATTTGGAGTTTAGTAAAAAAACAATTATACATACATATTAAATCAAGTTCCAAATACTTAATATGTATGTATATTTGAAAACACCTTCCGATTAAACGTGACGTTAAACAGCACTTTCTGAATACTTAGTGAAAATTGCATTCACTTTTTTTTGAGAAGTCTTTAATTGTTTGAAATCCAACAAATTAAATCTGCGAGCTAGATTACTTAAAATTTGACTGCAAGCAGGAATTTTTACTTTAAATTTTCTACCAGTTGTAAAGGTTAATTCAATTTTATTTGTATTTTTCCAGATTTTAGACATTTAAGGGCGTTCGCAGCTGCCACCAATTTACTTTAATTTTTATAGAACAAAACTCTCTTAAAGCCATAAGTATGGCAAAGTTATTCTTTTGCACAAAATTATGTATACGCAATTGATAAACTGGGAAAGTGTATTTTTTTAATTATTTTATTTCTCTTCGTCAATTAATTGTGTATATAAATACTACGCACAGTTATTTGTGCAATGATGTGGTTTGAAAAACGTTGAAATGTATACTACAACTTAGTAAATTCTTCTTTGTTGCGCCTAGCTTCGTTTTCATGCAGCTAGAGCATTTGTGCGGTTAACGCTTACACACTAAAAACTTTAGTTTTTAGTACATACACATCCACCTTGGAAAAGCTTATGTATACAGACAAAAAATGACAAGTCTGAGTACGAAAGCGACAGTTTAAGAGAATATTTTGGCTTTGTTCTGCGCATGCCCTGACCATTTCTGAATAAACGCTCTTAAAGCCATTGTAATGCTTAGAAGTTGAAAGCGTACTAATCGTATTTTTAAATCGTATTAAAAAAAGCACGAGTGGTAACTCTACAGACTGTGGCAGTTTTACGTGAATCAGTAGTTTATTTGTTTAAGATATGACCCGAACCAATTTTAGTGATTAATTTCACTCCCCATTCTCCCATTTCAGTGCGGGTCCTTGTAGACTTCAAGAAATCAATTTCAAAGGAATTTCAAATACCTACAAATAAATTAAATTGGAAGAGATTTCTGGAACGCCAACAGTTCAGCTTTGTTTGTTTACGTTTGAAAAGCTTTCTCAGCCATTAAAGAGTAGGTAAATGAATTTTACGTACACACAAAAAAACTATGTAAAATAAAATATTTAATTGTTAAATCTGACCAATCCATAACAACTAGGAACTACGCTGGTGGCAAAAATAATATAAACGTTTTGGTAGGGCTTGCTTTTTTCTAATTATCTCACAAATGAAAGCTGGTATAAATTTGAATATAATTTTTTTTATTTGTATTCTAGTAGCTTATTTTACAACAAGCAAGAGATTTTAAAAAAAATTTTAAGTCCCAAAAAAAAAGTAATTCATTTTTTAGCCTTGGAAAAAATAATAGAAACTGGGGTCGGAAACGTCTCCTTCACTGCGTTGCAAACTTCTGACTGAAATCATAATACCCTCTGCAAGGGTATAAAAATGCCATAATTGTTTATTATATTTTTGTCTTCCTCGCACTTCCTTTAGCTGAGTAACGGTTATCTGCTAGTCGGGGCACCCGACTATAGCGTTCTCTCTTGTTATACCCTTGTAGAGGGTATTATAATTTCACTCAGATGTTTGCAACGCAGTGAAGGAGACGTTTCCGACCACATAAAGTATATATATTCTTGATCAGCACCAATAGCCGAGTGTATCTAGCCATGTCCGTCTGTCCGCCTGTCCGTCTGTCTGTCCGTTTCTACGCAAACTAGTCTCTCAGTTTTGAAGCTATCGGCTTAAAACTTTCCCAAAAGTCTTCTTTCTATTGCAAGTAGTATATAAGTCGGAACCGACCGGATCGGACAACTATGTCTTATAGCTCCCATAGGAAGGAAAAGTTAAAAAAATTATAGATTCGGTGTTTTCTGAAATAAAACCTTCTACTCTTGGAAATGTTATTTTTTAAATATATCCGAATTTCGAATAAAATATTTAAAAAATCGGACGACTATTTCATATAGCTGCCATAGGAACAATCAAAAAAAAAATTTTTTTTTAATTCTAACTTTGGTGTTTTTTTGAATTTGAATTTTAACTTCTACTCTTGGGAATGTTATTTTTTAAATATTTATGAATTTCGAATAAAATTTAGAAAAAATCGGGACACTATATCATATAGCTGCCATAGGAACGGTCGGAAAATTAAATGCAAATTAATAGGAAAAAAATTATTGCTTCGTTGGTTTTTATTGTATTCTCCTCTACTCTAGGATATGACTCTTTATAAATATTTTCGAATTTCGGTTTTAATTTTATCAAAATTGAACTACTATAACATATAGCTGCCATAGGAACGCTCGGAAAAGTAATGAGAAATAATTGAAAATTAAACATTTTAGCGATTTGTTAATTAATAGGAATGATCTGCAAGGGTATGTAAGCTTCGGCTGGCCGAAGCTAGCTTCCTTTCTTGTTTAGTCTATTTTATTTTAATCAATATTGGTTCTCGTTTTTTAAATATTTCCGAATTTGGAATAAAATTTTTTAAAAATCGGACGACTATATATTATATAGCTGCCATAGGAACGATCGAAAAATTAATGGGAAATTAACTGGAAACAAATTATAGCTCCGTTGATTTTTATTGTATTCTCTTCTACTCTAGGATATGTTTTTTTTTAATATTTCGGAACTTAACAAAAATCGGATGACTACACTGTGCAACATTTTTAGGGTTATAAAATGTAACCGCAATTCTGATTTCATAGGCGGAAAGAATTCATCGAAATAAGCTAAAACCCATTTGGGTTTCTCTGGCTTAGCTCGCGTTTACCTTTTATAGCGATTAAAGTTTTACATACAAAATTTATTTGTAACGGCCATATCTTGTGAACCGATTAAAATTTCACTATCAAGTCTTCAGTGATTATGTAGCTATGAACTCAAGGAACTAAATTGACAAATGACTCTTGCGAAGACGTACACTTAGCGGGTTAAAAATCGAAAAATTAGGCAAATTTGTTTTTTAACGCGCTAGGTGCACTAGGTGCTAAGTGCGCAAGAGTCATTTGTCAATTTAGTTCCTTGGGTTCATAGCTACATAATCACTGAAGACTTGATAGTGAAATTTTAATCGGTTCACAAGATATGGCCGTTACAAATAAATTTTGTATGTAAAACTTTAATCGCTATAAAAGGTAAACGCGAGCTAAGCCAGAGAAACCCAAATGGGTTTTAGCTTATTTCGATGAATTCTTTCCGCCTATGAAATCAGAATTGCGGTTACATTTTTCATGTTGCACTGTGCTATATAATATAGGTGCCATAGGGAAGGATAGAAAAATTAATGTCAAAACAATACGAAATTTAAAATTGTTGCGATTTGTAAGGAATGATATGCAAGGGTATATAAGCTTCGGCTGGCCGAAGCTAGCTTCCTTTCTTGTTTTCTTAAAAAATCAATTTGTTTCTTAAAAATTTCATATACTCTTGCAGGTATGCCTACTTAAAATGTTGTTTTTACAATGTCAAAAATCAAAACGTCTACTTTCTACAAAGTTACATTGGTTTTTCTATTATTTTTTATACCCTTGTAGAGGGTATTATAATTTCAGTCAGATGTTTGCAACGCAGTGAAGGAGACGTTTCCGACCACATAAAGTATATATATTCTTGATCAGCACCAATAGCCGAGTCCATCTAGCCATGTCCGTCTGTCCGTCTGTCCGTTTCTATGCGAACTAGTCTCTCAGTTTTAAAGCTATCGCGATGAAACTTTCCCGAAAGTCTTCTTTCTATTGCAGGTAGTACATATGATGTGGGAGCCATAAGATATAGTGGTCCGATCCGGCTCGTTCCGACATATGTACTACCTGCAATAGAAAGAAGACTTTTGGAAAAGTTTCATCGCGATAGCATAAAAACTGAGGGACTAGTTCGCATAGAAACGGACAGACAGACATGGCTAGATGGACTCGGCTATTGATGCTGATCAAGAATATATATACTTTATGTGGTCGGAAACGTCTCCTTCAATGCGTTGCAAACATCTGACTGAAATTATAATCTATTGCAGGTAGTACATATGATGTGGGAGCCATAAGATATAGTGGTCCGATCCGGCTCGTTCCGACATATGTACTACCTGCAATAGAAAGAAGACTTTTGGAAAAGTTTCATCGCGATAGCATAAAAACTGAGGGACTAGTTCGCATAGAAACGGACAGACAGACATGGCTAGATGGACTCGGCTATTGATGCTGATCAAGAATATATCACTATGGACGGCAGTCCATGTAGTGACGAAGCGCACCAGGAGAGTGTGCGAAGGCGACTACTATTATATAGCCGCAAAATTGAAAATCTGCTGTGATAGTCCGATCGTAATGAGTAATACACCAATCGAAAGGTATTGCAAAAACTTAAAGGATTGCATACCAAGACTTTAAGAAAATCAATTGGCTTGGGAGAGAGAGCGGTGAAAGTGAAAAAGTGAAAATTTCGAAATTTGGAGCTGTTGGGGCCGGTGGGGATAAATGCCCCATCGCAATGTTTTAGTTGTATTCCCTTTGAAAATACCCGTCGAATGAGGGGTCATTTGTCAAAATCCGACGCTCAGTTCAAAAGTTATAGCCAAAATAAGATTTCCTTCTTCTTCCCAAAATGAAAATTTAATTCTGTTTGTCAGTTTGTCAGTTTGTCACTTTGTCAGTTTGTCAGTTTGTCAGTTTGTCCAAAACATGTTTCTTAAGTTTTGAAAATTTAATATGACGTTCATCCTATCGATATAAAAAACTTTTGTTCTACCACTTTTGGAAAAACTCGCTAGTTTAGCGGGAAAACAGCTATAAATAGCTAAAATTCGGAAAACCGTAACTTCTATACTACTAAAGCTACAGACTTGTGCTGCATCTTGTTTGAAAGGTATTTTTAAATGCTATAAACGCCTTCTATATGCAATTTGTGTAAATGTAATAATTAAAAAGATATGAACAAAAGACAATTTTTTAAAACTTTTTTTTAGCTTTTTTTTATTTTTCTCAAAAACGGCTCTAACGATTTCCTTGAAAACTTTAAACTGTATACCCCTTGAGATTCCTTAAATTTTGGTATATAACACATTACTGTAAAAAGTCACGTTTAAAAGTTATTTTTATACGAAAATAGCCACTTTTGGCAGCTCGAACAACTAAAGCTTCCTGAGTATTGAATTTTGTGTGAGGGTATCCGAACTGTATTTTAGGGAATGGAATCAGTAAATTTGCACTTAAGAGTTCCATATAGGAATCTTTTGTTCTACGACTTTTGGAAAAAGCCGCTACTTTAGCGGGAAAAAAGCTAAAAATGGCTAAATTTCGTTAGTTTGTAAGTTCTACACTACTAAAGGTACAGACATGTGCCATACCTCGTTTAAAAGGTATTTTGAAATACTTTTTAACTTAATTTGTTTAAATACAATGGCTTACAAATTATGATTGACCAATTTAAATTTAAATGTATATATTAGCTCCTATGAGAGCAAATGTAAACAAACAAAAACTTCTGATATCAAATAAAAACACCTCTTAACGAGGTAAAAAACTAGTGACGATCGCACCTTCAACATACAAAAGTTCTGATATC